TCTTCAAATGTTGAATGTATGATTAATTCTAATTACATTTTACCATCTTTACACTATATTAATTTTATTTTATAAATTGTCTCCTGTTCTGTCTCCCATTAAATAAAAATAATTGTTGGTACGGAAAAAAAGGATCTGCGTACATCAAATCGTCTTTAAATTAAGTGGCAGCAGAAGAATTATCGTTGAACTTTTAAAAGGTAAGCTTAAACATTAATTTAATACTTAAATGCAGCGATCAATTTTGATTATTTTGTAGTTTATTGATGCCTATCACAACTACTCCTCCCTAGCCATTGTGATGATGGCCAAACCAAGATTCCTTCACAGGAGCTAAGTTAAATGCCGCTCGATAGGGAGGGTTGCTTTTAAGCTAGTTTAAAATAAAACATGCACTCCAATTTTCGATATATATATATATATATATATATATATATATATATATATATATATATATATATATATGGCAATTGAATGACAAAAGTAGAAAATTCTGTGTAACGCATTTTGTCCTCTAAAAGGACTTCATCAGACTAAAAAAGTAATTTAATTTTTTTAATAAATGTATGAACAATAAAAAAAGATTAACGAAAGGAGATACATTGCCCTACCTGCCAACTTTATCACAACTACAAGTGAAAAGAATTTGTCTAAGTTTAATATAAAATGTAATACAACTACTTCTAAAACAATAAAAGAATTAATTTATACAAAACAGTATAATAACCTAAAACCTGAAGCAGGAATTTACTCTATAGCCTTGTCGCACATCTAAAAACCTACAAGATATTTCCCGCACAAGGAAGGATGTACCAAGGATTAAATCATTAATTAACTTAGACATTTAAACGCCATAACGTAAACAAGGCGCGGGATTAATTTCAGTAAAATAACAAAAACCAGCAAATCAGATTCAATGTTTGACGAAAAAATCTATAATGTTGGTCAAGTTGAGCCTATCTCTACCGATGTAATCAGAGGAGAATTATCATTTAGACAGCGGTATAGCGTCAGAGATAGAAAGCAACCACATCGACAGACCAGGAACGGCACATCTGCACAACACACCGACACCGCAGATTCCACTCACTACTCCCGGAAGAGGAACTTAAAACAAGAAGTAACGGGCCGCTGATAGATAATTGGATTTATTTGTAACTACAAGCGTGACAAATTAAAACCACATATGCTCCCAAAACATTACACGTGTGATTTATGACTGATGCTTGCCGTTCCCACAACGACTAATTGCTCTAACAGAGACTCATCCTTTTTCTTTTCCACAGTGCCAGTGTTCCGCCCAATAAATAGTTGTTATTGTTTGTTCTTTAAATCCATGTTTGTGCTTATTCATGTTTCTGTAGATAAAGGGCGTTGCTACCTTAGAGCCTGACCATCATTTCGATTTTAAAATTTTCATTAAAAGATAAAACATTTTACTAAGGCGAAAATGTCTAGAAAGTGCACTGATTGCTAAATCATATATGATAAATTTGTCCAGGTTCTTACATTTCATCTTTCTTAACAAATCTTCTGTTATCACAATATGGGAGACTCAAAACCAAAAACGATAAAAACAAAAGCATATAGAAACTGAATGAGATTGGCGAGATAATCATGTCTGATAAAAACTTAAAACTAAAACATTTAAAGCTCAAACATTTTCAAGCTTTAAATTCAGCGTTTCCACATCTTAAGCATTTCCCCTTGGTACATAATTATACCCGACGCTCCCAACTCCTACACATATAAACTCCATCAATGGAAGTATTACTTTAATCTGATTAAGTGCTTCTAGAGGAAGCACATAGAATTTTCCACTTTGTCATTCAATTACTTAACATTGCCTTGATATATAGGTATTTATGTATCATATGCTTCCATATATATATATATATATATATATATATATGTATGTATGTGTGTGTGTGTGTGTGTGTGTGTGTGTGTGTGTGTGTGTGTGTCTGTATCTGTGACTTCGTCTCTGTGTATTTCTTCTTTATCGCTCTCATCTGTACATAAATATGCATTGTTTGAATTAAAAGAAGTTTTGTTATTTTTATCCCAAGAAATAATACATTTATTTATGAATATCTTAACATAAGGTTTTAGCCTTATAACTCGATTATGTCTATTATCATTCACCTCAATGGGGAAATGTTTTAAATGAAAGCTGTAGAACTTTGTACAGTGTTGTATAAATTGCTTCCGATGGACTCCTAATACAATCCGCCTTAAGCCGTACATATTTACGAGACATAAGTTTTAAGTCTTACTGAGGATAATTTTCTTTAGAATAGTCAACTGCAATACGCACATTCTTAAAATCGTTTTTTCATTTATCAATGTGCTGATCAAGTTTGGAACTCATATTGATGAACAACACAGGTGAAAAGTCTGAATCATTGAGTGTATAGCGGGACCGAAGATTACAATTAGCAACACCGGGAGCTATGATACTTTACGTGCTATAACTGCTGTCTTAATTATTCTGTCTGCTCTCTCTATTAAACTATTACAATGTGGGTGGTAAGCATTTGTTCTCAATCTAGGAAAAACAATAAGTTTGTTACTTTTAAAAACAATACACTTTCAAATTGACTTTTCATGTACGATGTAGAGTAGAACTCAAAAATCTGTGGTCCATATATTTTCAAATGTGTCGTAGATACAGCTTCTGACTCAATTAAAAGCAGTTGCGACGAAAATTTTCGCATGTAAATGACGGGTTGTGATCACTTTAAACATAGAATGAGAAAATGAATACATTTCGACATGGAGATATTTCCATGTATTTTTATGTAAGTAATAAATGATTAATAAAGGCAATAAAATATACTAATGTGTACACAGTTGAAAAGGAAAGGAAAAACATTCAAACTTAGCTCTTAGGAGAGTGTGTGTGTGTGTGTGTGTGTGTGTGTGTGTGTGTGTGTGTGTGTGTGTGTGTGTGTGTGTGTAATTGTTCAGTTGTCGGTCGTCCGGGTGGAAGGAATGTTCCTCAGCAAGGATGAAGTTTTATGTATCAACACAACTTGGAACAAAAGAAAGAGAGGGAAAGATTATGGCTGAGCCACTTAACAGGCGTCTTTGGCAGACCAAGTGGGAGTAATCCCCACAAATGCTTCAATTACAGTTAATCGAGTTGAACGATCTATAAATATATATTTATGTCAGGGTAAAGAGGGGTCTGAATCGTAAAGAAGAGAGTGGCCTGACAATATCTTTATGGGCAATTTGAAAATTTAGTGAATATAATTCAAAATTCGTAGAGTTTGTATGTTTATGTTGGCAAAATAAGCACTCTATACAAAAATCTTTTATAGACTTATCGATACTTAGCCAATAGAGTTATGATTCAACTAATTTTATACATTATCCAACACCAAGATGATACAATGAATGAAAGTTATCTAAAATAGAGTTACGCGAAGTTTTCAATAAAAATGTTTACAATGGGATACATCACACAATATCTTAGAATTATTACCTGACATTAAAAACTACTGAACGTTAGTAAATTGTTTATTTTTCAGTGAATACTTCACGTCCATAGTAGACTGTTTCTCCGACTTGTACATTGTTTTATTAGCTGAGAATACTGATTGCTTTAAATGGCATATTTCATCTGTCTGCTCTACGACACCAGCAAAATTATAATAGAGATCTTCTTTCAATTCCTAGTCTTTTAAGGGCCTGGCTTGATTTAATGATGAGAGGCTGTAGCGACTGCTATGTTTTTCCACGCCCACATTTTATTCGTCTGCAATTGGCTAATAAATCAATACTGCCTTTCTATAGGACAATTTAGCCATCGCAGTCGTTGCTTTGAATTTTTCGGTTTTGAACTTGCTTACTTGTTTCGTTAGTACAAATTTAGCGATTGGTCAATTTTAACCAATCACATATTTTAGTGCAAAATCAACTTTTCTTGCGGTTTCGCTGGGAACCTACCTGTAGCTTTAAAAAAGGCGACTGTCATAAGCCGCCAGTAGAGTCCACTAAAGCTCGCTTGTCAACACAAACCTATGACTTTACTCACAACATAAACGCACACAGAATTTTGTAATACATATATACATATCTCTCTGTGACTCAGCCAAGTTCAGTCAACCAGGACTCTATTGATTTCTCTAACACAACACACTTTCTGATCAATTGTATTCTTGTGTTATCTATTCTAACAGCAGACTTGTTCTAACATTGATTCCTGAACATTTCTCTCTAAAGAGAACTTTCTTTCGAACAAATCAAATACGGTAAAAGGGAAGCAACTTCTTTTCCCTTAATCTATACATTGAATGCAAATTATTGTATATTTTGTTCTCGCATGTTATTTCAATATATACCTGTTGATTCACATTTGGGGTTTCGTTGTTTTCTTGAATCATTAATAATACAAAATATATATGCGCCAATGAACACTCGCCCATAACAAGGCAGTTGTTTCTTTTCTTTCATTCGTTACTTATACGATCACGCGATTTACTGTGAAAAATTGAATTAATTTCACTGTTGTTTGATGCTGATCCCCCACCACCGACTTCTCAATGATCAGCAAATACGTCCCTTTTAAAATAAATCTGACGAATCACAGTGCTCCTAAAATACAATGTCTTTTAATATGGACGGTGGATTTTACCTTTTAGTTTGTCTTATTTTCTACCGCAGTATTACAGTAGTAAACTAAATAATTTTCAACAATTCAAAGCGAATATTTCTTAAACTCTCAAAACAAATCTGAGTAAAAAACAATAAATGGCTGTTAGTCGTACAGACACACCAAATACACATCGATCAAATAAGAGTAAATTATAATAACTATAAAACTTTTAATTTCTTTAAAAAAAATTGTTATAAAATTTAAAATAATTTGTTATAAAATTTTCTTCGGTTTATGTAAGGGCCAAAATTAGGTATAGTAACTGATGACAGTTAAACACCGAATAGACAGTGTTTCGTACTTTACAATAAACAGTCATAGTTTCGTATTTTCAGAGATGATTTGTTTAGGAATTTCCAATCAGAAAATGTTTGTATATTTTACTGCAAGCATCTCTGTATGCTTGGATATATTCTTTTCGAATTTTACATTTTCTTTATATTTTTCTAATCTTTACCAAATCGAAAAAAAAACTTGATTTATTTTATGTTCAAAACAAAAACAATGTCGTTTGTTTAAATATTGCTTTTGTTGCCGTTTTTTTTATTTAACATTAATAGAAGCGCTTTGCGAACTTCTTTATCTTCATTTCGTCTTTTCCCAAAGTTGTTAGCAAACAAAAGTATATTTTAATCGTAAGATTCATAATTTTTAAATCCATTAAAAAAAGTAACAATATTTAATTTTTACAGACTTACTTCACCTAAAAAGAAACAACTCTGTAATATGAAGGGAGCGCAATAATTATTTTTTGAAATGCATCTCTGAATTAGAAAAACAATATGTTCTTTCTAACTAATACTCCAGTAATTACTAATCATTTTTCTCCTGTGTTGTAATATTCTTCTTCTGACAGAACAAGTCAAAAACCTCTCTCTAGTCTAGATTCAATTTACTAGTCTAACCACGAAAAAAATGTCTGTGTGCCAGTTTTGTTAAAATCTGCAGTACCCAAATGCAAAAACAAAAATTCATTGCTCTGACTTCAAATCGAAATTTTAGTTTAGTTACAAGAGTGCATAATTATGAATTGGTGCATTCAAGACTCAGGACGTGCTCTATTGCCCCTTGCTCTACCACTGAGCAGTAAAGCATATTTTGCTATTGCAGGGGAGGTAACGACATAAAGACGTGAGAGGGTTGACTTCCCTTCCAAGTGCACTCTTTGGTGTAGCGACCTTAACAAAAAAACTAGGACTGTTTATATATTGTCTCAGCAATGAAGAGAGAAAAACTAAATTTGAGTTAATTGTCCGTTTCTTTAAAAAAAATTCAAAGTACTTTTCATTTCCTACAGAATAAATATGCCGTTCGGAATCAAACCAGTATGTTCGTCCTGCAAGTCAACTTCGTCCACAATGTGGAGAAAAAGCAACCAAGGCGAAATTCTTTGCAATTCTTGTGGAGTGAAGTTGCAGCAAGCAGGCGCCAAAGAAAAAGCCGATGGATCTGGGACTGGAGGAAACTCATCCAAAAACGGAGGATCGACAAATTCCTCAAATTCTGCTGGACCAGTTCTTCGCAAAAGTTCGAGAATAAGACCGAATAAGAATCGAATCCAGACGACGTCTAAGAGTATTGGAACTAAAGGCAAAAGTAGAAGAAATATTTTCAAGAAAACGGTAAGAAAAAGAAAAGCATTCTTTTTTTGCGTTTATGTTGTAACAACATTGTTTTATTCGGACTAAATACTCCGTCGTTATTCTTTTATTATACGCTGTTTCAGTCGTTGTACACTCCAGCCTTCTTCAGGTGATCGAAAAATGTACACAAAGTCTTTGTGTATGTTTTTCGTTACAAAGATTAAGGGAATTTATTCTGAAAGTGAATTAAATCACAGTCAATGATTCATCTAAGAAGAAATTGTATGATTTTTATCGATAATTTAAATTTTGTTTGTTTTTAAATTAAACCTGTTCCTATTTCGGGTTGGTCTTACAAAAGTAAATCTTTCCAAATAAAACATTTTTTAAACAAAAAAAATACTCTTGACGAAAAATCAACATGCGAAATAAAAATAAGTTATGTTTACAATGGATTAATTTTTTGTGGTATAACGAATTCTTTTTTAAGTTAACTGTTAATTTACTTAATTAGTATTTTACTTGATTTCAACAAACATTGTTAATTTAGTCAATACAAGGCATTTTCTTAAAAAACCTGAAAATAATATTTCTTCTATAAATTTGCGATGAATCATTCATATCCCCAAAGTTGTTTAAACTCCTTCTTTCAGTCTGTCTCTTCTTGTCAATAAAGTCGGTTGCAGAAAGAGTCTTCCTTCTGCAACCAACTTTATTCTGTTTTTTTTCTTTTTTGGGGGGAGGGGTTGTTTGTTTTTTTTTGGGGGGTGTACAATTTACCGGTCGAAAAGTACCAACAAAAAGAACAAGTTTAATTCGGAACAACACTTAGAATCAAATAATTGTAAATTTCTAAAACATTGGAATTATAAAACAGGATAAAATATAAGTCTTTTTATTTAAATATTAGTAACGTGAAGAACCATGACTAAAAAAAAAAGTCCTTTTTTTTTTCTCTAGCAATTTTTATTTTTGTAATTATTATTGCTTTTTCTTTTCTTTTCTTTTTTCTTTTTTTTTTAAATTTTAATCATAATGTTGCTAACAATTATTAGGTTGTTTGCTTTTTAAATAAAAATTATATGGGCTAAAAATACAAATCTTCAAGAAATATTTTTGTGTGGGTCACAATCGATTTTTTTTGTTCTTAAATTTTATTCGTTTTTAATTTATAAAATATTGCTAAGATTTAAAATAAAGTGATTCTTTTTTCAAGTTTTCATTAAAGTGGGAAAAATTTTTCGGATTAAATCAAATATTCAAATTTTATTAAATGTTAATAATTCGTGAGAATTAAAACAACGATCAATCGATTTTACTTTATTATTCTTAGGTTATTCTCATAACAAATTGATATTGAATTAAGAAAAAATATTATGTTCCAATGCTAGACAATTCCATTTTTATTTTCAGCTGCTGAAATTAAACTTTTGTTTTGTTGAAATTATTTTTTATTTTAAATAAACATTTCATTTTTTTTTCTTTCTTTTACAAATATTTACAATTTTTGAAGTCGATTATTAACAATTTCAAAATAATTTTTTCTTTTTGTCAAAATTTTTTAAAATATCGTCTTTGTTGGGTGTCAGTCGTAAAATAATGTATTTTTATTGTGTAGTACTTCTACCGCCTTTTTTCTGTTGTTTTAATCCGTACTCCGTACAAATACTTTTTTGTTTTGTTTTTTAATGAAATAATTTAAAAAAAAAAAACGCATTTAACACTTTTGTTTTCCTGTCAGTATCGCTCCTACGTGTTTTTCAGAAATAAATTGCACATCAACTTTTAACAATATCAGATGCAAAATAACACTTAGAGAAAAAAAGCAGATTATCGGATTATCCGAAGATAAGAATATTTTTATTCGTTAAAGTGATTATCTCGATTTGATATGATTTTTTTTTCGTGGTTACTTCAAAATCCACTTTTTGTTCAGGTTTACTTAGTGAAGAGTTTTCTTTGAATTTAAAGCTGAAAACCGTCGAAGTTTTCAATGTTGTTCTTTTTTACACAATTTATTAAAGGCGTTCCGGTGAAGAATATTATACAACCGGTGATACACGAAAATTTCAACTCCATTTTATTTACCGTCGGATTTCTTTGTTTATACAGGGTGCTAAACAAAAAACAGGAAATTTGGCTCAGTTTATTTAATTGTTGAAAATTTTGTTTGAAACTAAACAAAGGATAGAAATTTAGTAGCATAAAACAGAACAAACACAAATGTTAGATATGGTTTTTAAACTAAAATAAAGTTACTTTTATTAATTATACAGTAATAAAATTTCCTGTTTTTTGTTGGGTATATAATATGCAAATAGGCACTTCACAGGGATTTACATAAAAAATATTTACATTTTATTTTTTACAAATCAACTTTTAAAATTATTGTTTCATTTGTTGGCTTAAAATGGTATTCACATCCTGTAAATATTAGTCTATATACAAGTGGGAGGGTATTATGAGTGTGAGAGAAACCCTAAAGATTTTATATATTCAGCTCCAATGTGGTTGATTTGCAGCTGGCAAGAGTGTAAAAAAAAAAAAGGCTGTTAAAGATGGTAGAAAAATGGAACAAACATATTCCAACAAAATACTGGAAAAATCTTAAAGAAAAATGTAGGTTTTTATTTCTATTGTCTATGGTTCTGTGAAGAAATCTGCACATCTTTGCTTCAACTACTAATATAATTTTCAAACTTTTTCTTTGTTTTGTTTTCTTAGTAAACCTACTCCTGTCACGAGGCCACAAGTATGGAGCACTCAGTGAAGATCAAACTCACTATTAATGCTCTAAAAGTTCAGCTTGTTAACCATGTTTACACATCCTCTTTATTATTTACTAAGCTTAGTTTAGTGTTGGAACAAAGCCACAAGTCTAGTGTACCCTCCAACTTACTGGTAGTAATGACCAACTGGACTAGCTTACTAACCCTAACTGCAATACAAGACATTCAGCCTTCTTTGTTTTAATCAATGTTGTTTACTTATTGCATTGTTCTTTCTTCAGTTTTATCATCTGCTCAATCTATTTTTACAGCAGCCACTCAAAGCCCCAACAGCTGTGTCAACTGTCGTCACTGGTGAAAGTGTTTATTACAATGTAAGTAATTTATTACTTATGACAATGTAGTATCAATTTCTTGTAATATTATTGTGTATTATTCAGAAAAATTGGAAGCAAATATCAAATAATAGACATGGGGCACCTCATCTTGACTGCATAGTTTTGACCTTGTGCCACACTGTCATTATTAAATATTAATAGAACACCTCTCCACAAAGCAATGGCTAACACTTACTTTTATAGTTCAATTCTTATTGAGTTAATATCGATATAACTACATTACTGTGGTGCAGTAACTGCCATGCTAATCTTGTATATCATTTTCAGTGAATTCACTTCACAGTGAGTTTCCTAAATATATAGCCTTGTGTCATACCAAGCTAAGAATGAAAAATATAAGTTATAAGTTGTCACTAAGCCTTTCCCTCTGAGATTTATTAGGATGTAGTTGATTAGTCTATTCTTAATTTTCACTTGATTAATCTACATTTAATTAGAGACTGCAATGCATCAACAGTAATTTTCTATGCAAAAAAGACCAAACAGCAATTATCCAAGTCTGAAAAATTATTTCTGTTAAAAAAGAAGAATGTTTTCCTGGATTTCCATTTCTTTGCTTCAACTGAAAAGTCTGTTTAAATTCTAATTGAATAAACTCCAACTGAAAAGTCTGTTTAAATTCTAATTGAATAAACTCCAACCGAAAAGTCTGTTTAAATTCTAATTGAATAAACTCCAACTGAAAAGTCTGTTTAAATTCTAATTGAATAAACTCCAACTGAAAAGTCTGTTTAAATTCTAATTGAATAAACTCCAACCGAAAAGTCTGTTTAAAAGTAAACTCCAACCGTTTTTAAATTCTAATTGAATAAACTCCAACCGAAAAATTGTAAACTCCAACCGTTTTTAAATTCTAATTGAATAAACTCCAACTGAAAAAGTCTGTTTAAATTCTAATTGAATAAACTCCAACTCTGTTTAAAAAGTCTCCAACTGTTTTTAAATTCTAATTGAATAAACTCCAACCGAAAAGTCTGTTTAAATTCTAATTGAATAAACTCCAACTGAAAAGTCTGTTTAAATTCTAATTGAATAAACTCCAACCGAAAAGTCTGTTTAAATTCTAATTGAATAAACTCCAACCGAAAAGTCTGTTTAAAAGTAAACTCCAACCCCGTTTTTAAATTCTAATTGAATAAACTCCAACCGAAAAGTCTGTTTATAATCCTTTGCAAGAATACATAACCAAAAGCAAAAAATTGACAACTTCCTTCAGTTTGTCCTGAAAGACTTCAAAGGAATGTATGTTTACCATCTTTGTTTGGGTAAGATATATTGAGGTGAAGAATTAAACATAATATTTATGCTCATACAAAGCATAGTATGACACAAGGCCATAATTTTGGAGCACCCTATGAGAATTGAACTCATCTCATTAATAATGGTCTATGGTGTTAGCCATTTCTCCATAGTGAAATGCTGTGAGCATTTGCTAAGTTTAGAATAACCTTGCACAAATCTAAATATAGTAAAAAATCTTGCAAGTGGGGAGTCTGCCTGCCACACTTGAAAATTTGTACTCAAAATTGCAGCTTCTACCACTAATTAAAATGTGCAATTACCTCAGCCACTAGGCATGTCTGTAAAATAAGAGTTTTCCCAAATATATTAGAAAATTAAAACAACATTCAAAATATTCCTTGATTAATTTTTACTAAGCTTAAGTGGTAGGAAAAAAAATCGTGCTAAGCCAGATTTACAAGATTGCCTAGAAAATCAGTATTCAAACTGCTAGCAGTTAAATGAAGTTTAAACATCAATGTTTCAATTGGGTTAGCCAAAAATGGATTCTTTCTTTGTCATAAGAGAGCATTAGGAATATTTATTTTTTACCTACATTCAAAAATGTCACATTATTACAGCTGTCATATCATCTTACATTTTTATAAAATGTTTGTCAAAATTGATATATTTTTGGTTCATTGATTCTAACATTGAATATAGAAGAAAATAGGCAGCACTTTCAACACATGCTTATTTATTTCATGAAAGTAAAAAATAAAAAAACACTCCACCCAAGGATTTGTACACTTTGATGGAGAAAGTATTGTGTATGATCAAACATGCTGCATCAGTGGGGTGCTTATTTGTGTCAAATAAGAATAAACACATAATTCAAACCTTTATATATTTTATTTACTACTGGATAACAATAGATGTAAAACATGACCAGTGGATTACTGGTAGATTGATAGTTTGATACCGGACATGTGAAGATGTATGACTGCCATCTTGAAATCTCTTTACTTCTCTGTTGTCCTAGAGAGTTCTGATCAAGGGGCATAACTTCGTTCCCATTTAGAGAACAAGTTAGCACTTTTGTTATTATCTCCATCCTAACACATGTAAAAAGTGGTCTGTAAAATTTTGTGCTGGAGTTTTCTTGCTAAATGACGCTGCATGGTCAGCTAGACCAGTTGAAGTTGATAACAATCAAATTAAAACATTACTTCAGAGTAATCAATATTATTACAATGCAGAAGATAGCAAAGCTGCTTTACTATGTTGGGCACTTTGATGTGTGGCTCTTACATATGTTGAAAACTGGATACAAGAAGATATAGAGGACAAGAGATCATTGGACAAGCAAAAATGAACCACCACTAATTGTCTCGATGATTGGTCTTCAATCAAAAAAGGTGATGCTGTATATTTGTAGGGAGTCTTTTACTATCTGCAAAACCAAACAGTTGATTTCAACAAGGACTGTTTTTAATTAAACCAAGTAGAGCAGCAATTAATGAAAAGCTTCAGAATTACAGAAAAGATGTCATATTCCACCTAATTCTTGACTGCATATTTCTTTGGTCATCAGGCCAAAACTCTTACAACTGAGTATGGTTGCATCTAGCCAATTCAACTGTAAATTGATGAGACCTTGTTGCCAATGGACAATCCATTAACATTTAAAAAAGTACTGCACTTAAATTCCTAAAGTCTAGGTATTATACTATCATTCAAACATGAAAGTATTTATAGAAAATGCACAAGGAAATTACATTCTGGTGGTGGGCACAGCTGTTTGAGGTTTCCTACAGACCCACTGAACTTAAATAAAGTCAATTCAGGTTTCCTATGGTAAAAATTTTCTTTCCCAAGTGAAAATCATCACAAAAATAGCAAAAGTCATTTTGTCACAGCTTATTTTCTCTCAAAATATGGGTTTTCATACTTTTTAGGGGTAAAATATTGAAAAATGACTGTTTTATCATCATCTAAACGAATATCAAGGAAACTTTTGATCTGAACCCCATGAAACCAGGTATTTTCTGAAAGCAAAAGATATATTCTTTCATTTAAAAAGTAAAATTAGCTGGTGTAAATGACTCAAAAATTTTTTCAGTGGGTAAAATGTGAAAAAAATAGTGAAAATTTTGCATTTTTTTCTTGTTCTAAACAAATATTTCCCCATTAATGGAAATTAACCATTTTTTTTTGAAATCAGAAAGCCTAGATCATAATCAAACTATTTCAGGCATAAAATTGAGAGTTTTGAAGGAAATCAACATTCCGAGGGGTTCAAAAAATGCGACAAAATCCATTGTTAATTTTCAATTATGACTGCCAAGGGTTAAAAAATTGACACCTGGCCACGGAAATCTTTAGTAAAAGGCAAGAGATTTATCTGCAATTCCTAACCACCAGAAACCAAAAGTTTTTTTTTTCCTAAAAATAGTGATAAGGAAAAATAAACCTAATTGACTTTGACGTCTAGGTCAAAAGGCCAGCCAACTAACAATAAACGGACGGCAAACCTTAGAACAAGTTGTAATAAAACCCACCACTCCCAGATAAAAAGCAAAGGGTGAATAAAAAAAGGTTCACAATTACTAGGGCTTCATATAACCTATGTTTGAACAATGGCTTGATAAGTTTTGTTTTGTTTTTAACACCCGTGACCGGGTGATGACAACAACACTTAGCAGACAACATTGTTTTTTTCGCCGCATATCTTTTGTATTTCCCATCGCCGGTCCATTTAGCCTTTCTTTTTTATTCAATGATGTTCATGCCAAATGAAAGAGAAAGGAATGAATTTTGAATGATGTTATTTTGAAGAAGCGAAAATGAATATTTTTTCATTAAAAAGGGATTTTCTCAGAAAATTGTGCATAATTTCTTAATGCTAACCGCCGAGTGACATTTTCCACAGCCAAATCGAAGATTAATTACCAGTGAATAATTCCATGTGCAAAAAATAGCCGTCTGGATCCTATAAGGTCGCCCTAAAAGGTCCAGAAGTTTACTAATTGATCGAAAACCTGTTAAAATAATTGTATTTTTCACGGTCAGTTTCCATTATTTCATCTTGATATTATCATTTTTCGGACAGCCAAGTCATCAAGGATTCAGGAAAACACTTTGACATAGGTTTTCTTTAAGAACTTTACATTCTATGAGGTGTTTAAAATGTTACTGACGAATGAGATTTTTTTGCCGCATATTTTTTCTTTGTTTGCAATAATATGTTGGATTTTCCTATATGACAAAAACAAGGGTTTTAAACAGCTGTGTGGGAAAGTGACTGTAGCTGAGAAGCCAGGTTAGGAGTGATAATATTGCTGATTCTTCTTTGGATTTTATCAAGAACCGCTAAATATATAGCAGGAGCACTGAACTATATGTGGCAGCAATATTCTAAGCAAAGAAGAATGGTAGATTTATAGATATGTAAGATAGATTCTGGAGAAAAAAACTGTCTCTCAAGACACAGTGAACTGACTTTCTTAGTAGCTTACCTAGCAATGGATTCAATATAATCTTTCCACTTCATGTCAGCAGAGAATGTTAGCCCAGGAAGGTGCAATGAGTCACTTGTGCTAGAGGTCTGCATCTGCTATGCTAATGGAAGGCAAAAACTGGTCTCTCGGATGATTGTCCTATTTTAATGTGATTCATGTGAGAGATTGTCATAGATTTTGAAAGAGTCAAAATCATAACTGCATCAGAAAAACTCATTTTGAATTTAGTTTACTATTGCAGTTTTGTTGGTATGTGTAAATATGCTTACACATATGTTCACACTTCTCACTTTCTCTCTCTCTCTTCTACATACATAAATACACACATAGATTCTCTTGATCCCCAAGTAATTTCAATTAAATAGATTTCTCACTGTCTGCATTTCTTGTTTTTTAAATGTCAATGGATTGTTCATTTTGACATTCCTTTTAACTTTTCTATCTTCAGGGTATTTATTATCAAGTTGGAGATATTGTATCACTGCTTGACAATGATGGTATTTCTATTTACTATGCTCAAATCCGTGGACTTTTACAAGACCAATACAACGAGAAAAGTGCAGTTATTTCTTGGCTTCTTCCCACACAAGGAAGTTCACAAAACAAATTTGATCCAAGTACCTATATTCTTGGTGAGTTCTCAATTTAATCATCTTGTATAGTGCATGTGTGTTGATTAAATTTACCTTAGTCCCTACATAAGGCTACTGTGACCACACCCTGGGTCCACACAGATTCACTGAACAAGCAATCAACCCGACACTGTGATTTGCTTTCTTTTCTTTCTTTTTTTTTTTTAAGACTGCTTGTCAGTTTTGGGCAAAATTGTCAAGGTATACTTACAAAGGGATGAAGTTGGGGAAAAAATTTACTTGGACACCCCAAAAGTAACACTAGTCACACTTTGATGAAAGAAGCTAACTTTATTGGTTTGTCGGCACTTCTGAGGGGTGGCAGTGCATGCAACACTTGAGCTCGTCATGTCTGTGTACAGCTTAACAGCACTCTCTGTACAGCCAGGTGATCCCCTCCCCCCAAAGCTAAAGCTTCCAGCCATTGCAATGAGAACACAGAATCCAAACTACTCAACCACTTGAGAAGTCCTCTTTTATGTGATCTTTTGTTCAATCTGGTCCATGCCAATTCAAAAACTTAAATAGACAATGGAGTTCACTTTGGTTACTAATAATGTCATTTAACCAATTCTAGTTCAATTAAGTTAGTGGCCTAATTACTAAGAAATAAATCTAGGCACAGCCAGCCAGTGTCACACTACAATCATGAGTTATGTAATGAAGATTAAACTTACTTGCTTGTAAAATAGCTTGTTAAGCACTTCCACAGTAAATATTTGAGAATACATATTTACATTAACCTAATATGACATAAGGCCACTATAGTAGAGCACTTTGTGAAGATGAAACACACTTGAAATCATTTGTCAGATTATAAGCTTTAGATTGACATAAGTTTGAACTCCAATTGAGTTTGTTTCATCCACTTTCATACAAATACCCTTGGAAAAGGCATGAATCCATCATTTCCCCACCAAGCCCTGAGTTCAAGAGCAGTGCAACCTGTCATCTCTAGCCTTGGTTGGCAACCAGTCTAGAAAGACAATTCTGAATTCAAAACACATTGGTGAGCAGATAGATTGCCAACTAAAGTTGGAGAGATTCTATATCTAGAGATGGTGATTAAAAAAAAAAAAAAAACAGACTTGGCCACTCATGAGAATGTGTCAACCCATAAAAATATACAATAACTGAAATTCTTAAGACACCTGAGTAGTGCAATTTACCCGTACTACAAACAGTATCTTCTTTAAGTGTGGTTTAAGGCCATTACAGACTGGCTGCAAGTAGGGACATAGACAGGGAAACAAATTGGTGCATGTATACTTAATTGTGTTAGATGTATTACTTCGGTGGAAGTGAATATATCTAAATAGAGAAAAAACATGATCAAGTAATTAAATATAACATAGGTACCTCCACAAATTTGCTAAAAAAAGAGCATAGCATGATAAAAAAGACGCCAAATTTGACAAAAACAAAATTTTATTGTCTAAATGTTTGTTATAATGAAAAGTTAAGATCAAAGTATTTTTGGGGTATTTTTTTTACATTTTTTTAGTCATTCATAACACATCCAAAATTTTCGTTAAAAGTCTTTTTTTTTATTTTTGGAGTCAGCAAAATTGATAGATAATCAGTCATGGCAACCATTTTTTTCCATTTTATAAAAAAAATGAAAATCTCAGTTTGAAATTCTTTTAAAAATCAATTATCATTTTTTCAAAAATTATGTTTATTTAAAATATTGTGAACCAAGCTTAAATTAGCTTCTGCGCTGAAAAAATGTAATTTGAAAATAAAACAAAGCAGGTCATAAAATTTTGTGTCACTTGACAGGTGATGAATGACATATTGACGGATTATGTGTGGATAATTCCTTCTACGGAAGGAGAGAAGTGAAGTTATTTACATTTAAGTGAACAAATTATTTACCTCATTATTTTTAAGGAAAACTTTCAGCACTCTGTTTTTGTACTTAGCTTTCACCTTTAAGTTTACGATGCTTATAAAGAAATTAAAATAGGACTTAAGAGTGAGATTAAATTTCATAAGAAAAGTATCTAATTAATTTATAGGTACCTTTCTTATGAAATCTTATCAAAAGTGTACATAAAATACTATAATTTTATGTACATTTACTACATTTTACTGTGTTATTTGTATTTCCATTCATTTTATTATTAATTTTGATATTTCATTTATGGAAAAATGTCATAACTGAGATTAATATAAAAATAAGATCATATAAATTTCATAAGATAATACTGATACTTCTAGGTACCCTTCTCAGTTGAAATTGAAAAATCAAATTAACTTCTCTACACGTGTTTCACAAAAGTCAATGCCTTAACAGCGGAGAACAATGTTTAACTCAAATAACGCAACTTAATTGTATTCTGGTTGGTCTTCCATACTTTATAATTACAGCCTGATTATAAACACAAAATTACATTTCTTAATTACTGTAGGTCTTCTGATTAGTCAAAACGATACAATTTACAACGCATTAAAAAGATCTATCTCATAAGGACACTTATGAAAGCGGATGTGGCTTTTAACTAATTTTATAATATTTTAACAACTTAAATGTAAAAATCTATTATAAATAAAGAAATAACAAATAATTATATTAAAATTCATTTTTCATCGAAAAAAATTTTTTGCTTTCAGAAAACATTGTCCATATTCATAAAAATAACTAAAAGCATTTGAAATTAAATAATATCTTTGATTTATTGAGTTTTGTATGTTACAATTCAGAGCTGATTTTCAGGTAGGGGAGTCCAATTAAAAACAAAAAAAAAACATGATTTGCATTCCTCAAAGCTAAGATTCCTAAAGTGGATTCAATCAAATTTCTAGAGTTTTCATAAAATTAGTTATGGGTGGGGTAATAAATATAAAAAAAATATTTCTGCCATGACTTTAATAAAAAAAATACATATTTATAATAATTTTGATCATCTGTGAATACTTTCTGAAAGTTTCATTAACATCCGACAATTATTTTTATTTTTGCAAGATTTTCGAAATTAATGTGTGTCATACAAAAAACGTGCTAAATATTGTATGTTATTTTACTAGTTCCGGTGATACAAAGAGAAACAAGGTTTTTTAATCAAAATTTAGAATGTTCTAAAAAGGAAAAATTTTCAAAAATAATTAAAATAAACTTTGGTCTTTCCTCTTCATAATAGCATAAACATTTAGATGATAAAATTTGGTTTTCATCAAGTTTGGCATCTTTTTATCATGCTATGCTCTTTTTTTAGCGATCTTGTGGAGGTACCTAAATTAACAGGATGAATTCATGTAAATTTCATGGTGTATTTTTCAATTTCAGTATAGAATCAAGTGGTTCATATAATAAAAAAAGTAAAAAGAAATTATTTTCAGATGACAAAAGATTTGTATGAATTCAGTTTTAATATGATGCCCCCACATCATATCTCAGGCACTCTTCTTTTAGGGTAATTATGAGTTTCGGTTTTGCAGTAGGAATCATCAGATACATCTGTGTCAATTTCATGTCCTGTCCTAAAACAAAAGCATAATTTCAGCACCAAAAGGTCAAATAGTAGCTTATCCATTTACTAATTTATTTATGGGAAAATATATTAAATACAATTACTTTGATTGTTATGACATTTTAAAAAAATCTGTGTGAAAATATTTCTTACTTTTTGCTTTGCTCTTCCTTTTCTCTGTCCATAATTAGTAGTTGAACTGACTGTAAAAATAAATGCCTGTGGCTAAATACTAGTATTATGGTGAGCATATTACAAATGGGTTGAAATGTTTACACTGAGTATTATTTAATGTTGTGAAGTTTTTCTCCTACTTTAGAATATGGCTGCAATCAATTAATGGACCCATATGTAGTAAGGCATAAAAATGCAGATTAATCTATGAATGAGCTGGTTATGATTCTCAGCCCAACAAAGATGTTTCAAATAAATAAATAATTCTATTTTAGGTAGTGGGTCAGATCAAGAACTTTTCAACCCCCACCTCCTCATAACCTAGGATATAGGTATGATGTATACATCAAAACTAATATTTTAGAGTAATATTTTACACCTAATTTCAACATGTATATCAGCAAGATTTTGGTTTTTACTGTTGCTGTGTACTAATTTATACCATTACTAGCAGTAGAGCCCAGTTTTGCCTGGGGATGTAACAGTAAGAGATAGATCAAGTATCCACCATCATAAAGACTGAAAAATAAAATTGACAAAGATTATTAAGGTTGACGGACACATGTCTTAATTAGTTTTTTTTTTTTTTTTTTTTTTTAATTGGTCAAACCCAAACTCAAACAAAAACATTGTTTTCAATCGTTATGAGTCTACCGATTGAATAGAATTTTATTATAAACAATTGTCTTGTAAATGGAATTTTTAAAGCATTCTGAATGTAAAAATAAAGTAAAAAGTGTGCAAGAGAATAAGAAAAACTACCTGCCAAAAAAAAAAGTGAAGTTTTGTTGAAATCGATTGAAAAATCTAGAAATCCGATTCCATATATAAATGAACACACCCACACACAACCAACCAACCTGGGTTTTTATAATAAGTATAACTTGATAACGCGATATTAATAAGTATAACTCGATATGAGTTGTCCCCCTTTCATTAATGCCTCTTAATCATGTTTTTAAATTGATTTCGTGCAAAAACAATTGTTTTTCCAATTTTTGGCACTGCAAGGTAATTTTACGTAGTCCTGTGAAGTTTTGTTGAAATCGGTTGAAAAATGTAAGAAATCCAATCCAATATATAAACGTACAGACACACACACACACACACAATCTGCATTTTATAATAAGTAAGATAAGATAAGATTCAACTTGCTCTCCTTTCTCAATAGGAAAATTTCTTATGCTTAAATACCAAATTTTGCAAATTTTTTTTTGTTTTTTTCTTTTTAAACCAAGTATTATCAGTGGTCAGGATCTAATGCAAATTTTACTGACAGTATAGGACTCTATGTATGTGTTTCACAGAATTAAATAATGTCAGTTGAAAGCTCATCAATTCAACCTTCTCAAACTGGACTGAACAGCCATATGCACAGACCCATTGAAAGTGGGTTTGATCTTCACAGATGGAAATGATTATATCAATAATCCTTTTGGTAATAATTTTTTTAAAATTATCCAGTTTACTCACTGGCATAGATAATAGTCTGAGTTTTTATTTATTCAGCTGTGTTTTAACACACCCAATAAGGATCAAACTCACTAATTCAATTCAATGAGAATGATGAAATTGTAATGAAAAAAAAAAAATTGACTAAAAGTAAAGATGAAATAGTACTTTTGGTAACAGTTTTTACATATGTGTAGTTTTCAATATTGGTTTTGTTATTAAAAAAAATATATTCTTTGAGAACTTGCCTTTTCTACATTTTTAAAAGACATTCGTTCTTTCTTTCTTTCCAATCCAGGACCCGAAGAAGATCTTCCAAGAAAATTGGAATACATGGAATTTGTGTGTCATGCACCTTCGGATTATTACAAGTGCTCTCGAGAACCTTATCCTTGTCTGTCCAAAGGCCCTGAACTGAGTTATATTTGGAGTTCCCTCCGACCTTGCATCAGAATAGTTCCCTCAAAAGATGAAATATTTGGTACAAAAACTTCACAAAAAAAGACAGAAAAATTGAAAGTAGACAAAAAAGATAAACATATGGACAAAGATAAAAGCCACGATTAAGAGGAACAAAAATGAAAATAAATTGTTTTTAATATAAATTGCAACTTTTTTTTCTTAATTTTTGTTTTTACCCATTTCTCAAAATTCTTTTTTCTAAAACTCTTCTTTCTAAACAGCAAAATGCTATTTTCAGTTTCTTTAGTTAAGCTGTAAATTTAATGATCTTTTCAATGATATAACAAATATTGTCTAATTCGAGTCTGGGAGTAACAACATTGTCTAGTATACTCTATGACTGGATAACTTTTTTTGAAAAGCATCTCAAAATTACAAAAAGACTAAGAAGCACAAATTTTCTATTTAATAAGTCTTGCTTCCTCTCATAAAGGTTTAGAAGTTAGTCTTGTCAACTTTTATATCCTTCCTATGCTAACCTGAGAAAATTCTTTCAATACAAATTCACTACAAAACAAAACACTTTTTCTCTTTCATTTATTGTCTTTATAATGTTATTTTTCATTAGATTTTTAATTTAAGAGGAAGAAAAATACATTTCTGGGATATTTTTAAATGCAACACTATTCCAGCATGTTGTATTTCATTATGGATATTATTTACATTATTCGGACTATTGTCCTCATCTTTGTCACCATATTTATCACGTTTCGGCCGTTGTACGCTCTGGCCTTCTTCAGGTGGTTGGAATGTCAAACAGAACCCTTTATTTTGCTCACTGTTCTAGTTCTACGTGCCATGTTTGATGGATGTCAGTTATAACTTATCTCCTGTTAATTTCCCTCTGAAAGTTCTCCATTGCCTTAACCGGGTATTGAACTCACACTCTTTATCCACTGTGCCATGTGTCCTTGAGGACATCTGGGTATGAATTTCTGGGTATTATAAACCGAATGTCATCAGCAACCATTTTTACCAGTGCTCATATTGCAATTTTTGCTGTTATCATTTCATGTTTTTACCAGAGCTCATATTGCAACTTTGTTATCATTGCTTTTCTCTGGCACTCCTTATTACTGATTCCCATATTGTATTTATTTCTATGCTTGGTCGATCCGGAGATTTTTGTGGCCTAGCATATGTGCTGATTCCTTAAGTTTACAAATTTTCCAATGGTGTTCCTTGGGCAGCTGCGGAAAGGAATATAAAGGAGAGACAGGCCGCCCCCTCAAGGTAAGGCTTTAAGAACACCAGAAAGCTGTAACACGAGGGGAAGTGGAAAAATCAGGCATGGCTGACCACATATGGAGAGAGAAGGGAGATCACCGCCCTCTGTGGGATCATGTTGGCATCATAGACAAGCAATGATAACAGCAAAAATTGCAATATGAGCTCAATATCAGAGATAGATGTGAATATAAAAGTGAACATAGAATTCAACACTTAGGCGACAGTTTCTGTTTCATGCTATACATGTGGCCTGGCGTCAGGCCACATGTGGCACATGTGGCCTGGACATTGCATATAGCATGAAACAGACCGTCTCTAAGTGTTGACTTCATGTTCACTTTTATATATATATATATATATATATATATATATATATATATATATAGATGAGAGAGTGATAAGACATGTAAAAAATCAGTTTTCAACTTTATAACTAATCACTAAAAGAGTACTGAGAAGAGAACTTTTAATATGTAAGATGGTAAAACTAGGTGAATGTTGAAAATGTTGGTTTGACTACTGTTTAACTTGGTCCATGCTCCTTGAGGAAGATGGCTTGAATAAAACAGTTGACTAAATGGAATCCTGTCTTTTCTGTATGTGCTCGTTTCTAATTTCTTTTTTTTCTTCTTAATCCTCTGCAACGGCTTTGTTTTTTTGTTTTTTTTAGTCTTTTGATAGAAAATTTTACTCATTTGTATTAATAGTATTAACATATTGTTAACTTTGATCGTGTTCATATCATCTTTAATTTTTTTTTTTTTTTTTTTTTGGCAACTGACGCAGGATGGAAATACCCTCTTTTTGTAAGAGTGGGCATTTGGACTTTAAAGTTAAAACTTAAGAACTTATTATTGATTGAGAGATATATATATATATATATATATATATATATATATATATATATTCTTTTTTACCTGTAGGTCTCAGCTTGGCCCTCTACATGAGTTTTCTGAGTGAAACTCACTTTTTGTAATAATTCCTATAGAAGCCAACCTTGGTATTATATATATATATATTTTTTTTTTTTTTTTTTTAAAATAAGAGTAAATAGGTTTTCCTATCACCCAGTCAATACTCCTCCCCTTTCTCTTGAACAGGAGTAGAGGTTCATCTCTTGTTCCTTGTTTAGGAAGGGGTTCCTGGTTCTTTTCCTTTTCTCTGGCCTTAATAGTAGTGCTGTCATGAATTTCTTGTGATGTGTGTGGTTGGTGACAATGTTTCTCTTCACACTGAGGATACTGGGTTAGCAGTTTTCTGGTTGCTGTTCCCACTGGTAGTTAGGAGCCTGAACTCTTACATAGCATCTTGAGAGGCTGCTTTGATCAACAGTTGCATAATATTGGGGTTCTTGCTGTACCATATCACACATGGATCAGTGTCAAGCACCTCTGGTAGGCAACTCTGTTGCAATCAGTGCCAGTTCTCTTCTGCCCATGTTACATTAGATGACCAACTGCTAATACTACTCTAGGCTTTTTCCTTACTAATATAACACGACTATAAACAGCCAAAGATATAAACCTAAACCAGCTCAAAAAAAAAAAAAAAAAAAAAAAAAACTTAAACCATTTAACCTCTCTTTCTCCAACATAATGTAGCATTCGTACCAACTTCTGAAGTATGGAATCATTCCTCTTCGAAAAGTCTCTGGACAGCCTAGCTCTCTGTGAAACTAACCTTCACTAAATCATCAATCCCTTCCTTCGATTTCTTGATTCCTGGCTACATTCCTCTAATTAAGAATGACTCCAATGTCCACATGCACAGTCTGTGAGTTTATGTCCACAAACATCTCGTGTTAGCTAAGGCACTCTCTCTCTCTCGAACCATCCATTCATACATATATCTTCGTCTGTCTCTCCTTAATTCAGTCAGCTATCTCTTCATTCTCTACCGATCACCGTTCCTCTCATGACTGTATGCTAGATAGTATTTCCTATAATATTGACAAGGCCATCTCCCTACACCCATCTGCTAACACATTTGTATTTGGTGACTTCAACACCCACCATACAAGGTGGCTTAAACACTGTCACTGACCTCACTAACATTCAAACAATCACTCAATCCCTCATGCAAGTTTCCTCAGTAACCCTGACAGAAACACTTGTCAATTTGTTTTACCTTTACCCCTGATTCTTGTCATGCTATGCAGCTCTGCCCTCTTGGCAACTCTGATCACATGGTAATGTCTGTAAAAATCTCCTTCCACTTTGCCATCAGCAAAGGACCCCCTACCAACAGAATATCTTTGTTATCAATGAACAGATAAGACTCATTCCGAGATTTCCCTCATGATATCCCTTGAAATGTAGTTTTTAATCATTCCATTCAAAAATGCCTGTTTGAGGTCTCCTCCTGGGTAAAAGCTGGCATCAATACTTTCATTCCAGCAAGGAAATACCTAGTTTAACTGTGTTCATCTCCTTGGTTCTTACCTGCTTGCTCAGCCACTATAGCCCACAGGTATCACTTCTTCCATCTGTACCAGAGGGCTATATCTGATTGCAACAGACGTCTCTTTGTCTCTGCTCATAACGCATGCAAGCATGTGCTCAACTTACTGGTTACTGATAGAATGAAACATTGTATAGCATCTCCCAAGTTAGGTTCTAGAGATTATTTGCAGCTCTGCAAGAGTGTGCTGAACAACAGCAAATCCTCAATCCCTTCTCTATTCAATCAATTCGAAGTCCTAACATCTACAGCAGATATGGCTGAATGCTTTGCTCAAAAATTTTCATCCAACTCAATTCATCCAGTGAGCCCAGACCTGACCTCTCCCCTAGAACTGAGGCTCAACTGAGTGATATGTGCATAACTTTGTTGTTGGTCTCGGATATTTCTAAGACTCCCATAAGGCAAGTGGAGGAGATGGGATACCAGCCTTCACCCTAAAGATGTGTTCCTGGGTTAGCTTCAGTTCTCTTTAAACTATACAACTATTGTCTTACTGCTTCCAGATTTCTAGTCTATTGGAAGTCCTCCTGTCATCCATTTTTAAGAACTCTGGAGAACCTTCTGACTCCTAACTACAGAGATAATTTATTCTTTTTAGTGCTGCTCAGTTATTGCTCACTGTTTTGTTTGAATCTGTACTACCCAGCCTAGGGATTGAACTTACAATTATTATCCCACCAAATTCACTAGGCAACAAAGATGAGGACATTAGTTTGAATGTAATAACTTTTCATCCCAGAAATTCAAACAGACATGTTGTGGCAAGCCAAAATTATTTATGAAAATGTTTCATATTAGAAATACAGACAATTTAATATTTCTTCTAGGAAATTCAAATAATGTTACTATCAAACAACTATAAGATAAGTAATGTATTTAGGAAAAATAAAAAAAGTCAAAGCAATATGATTTGTTTGGAGGTACTATTACCAGTGCTCTTTGTGGTCTAATTGGTAAAACAGCTGACCCAAACAAGCAAACAACCCAATGTAAAATGAATGCAAGTTTGAATCTGGTCAGACATTCATATTTTATTTCTAATCTTTGCTGTTTACTGAGAATGACTGAAAAAGAGAACTTAAAATTTTCTGCACAAAACAGAGGATAAATTAAGTAGATTTTGCAATTTATATTTTAAAATAAGAACAAAACGTGTAAATATAGATAACCCAACCAAAATTATGTCTTTTCAAACTATTCTCACAGAACACATTTAAGCTAATTTGCTTGGATGTAAGCAATTCTCAAATGAATTTTTTTTTCTGAAAATAAATTCTCTGAAATTTTTCAAAAAATAAAATAAATCAAAAATAACAACAAAATCTTTTGGAAAAGTATGCTTCCGATATAAATTTTGAATAATTTTTCTTTCTTTTTCTCAATGATTTAATTTCTGAATTAAATCAGATAAATTTATGCAAACTTAAAAAAAATTACAGTCAGATTTCCCCCAACTGTAAAAGACAAGAGCCTTTACAGAAAATTTCAAATAGAAATTCCAATAATAAACTTGTCATTATCAGCATCATCTCTGCTAATTCATTATCATCTTACATTCTTTTTTTCATTCATCTTTGACGGCGTTATCTCATCAGCCAATTTGTTGATTTTGCGAAAATATTGCTTGCAGTACTCAAAGGATGTTATCATTATGGCACAAGCTGGGGCTACTTTGGCAACACGAGGAACCATACCTACAGAACAAGAAAAGATAAAATCATTGGAGTTGGGGTACAAATTACAGTCAAAATTTTCCCATAAATATTTTCTATGGTCATTTGGTCTGGCACAAGGCTACAATAATGAAGCTCTTGGAGGAGATGATCAAACTCACTAATGGTAACAATGATTGGTGAAATCATCTTTTTAACCAACATTATGGCAAGGCACAAAGCCATACATTGAATAGCAACCTTAGCAACCTAATGGTCTGTGAGATCATCTTGCTAATAATCAATACAGTAATCAGAGTTATGAGTTTATATTTGAAAACTGTAGAAAGTTTGTCTTTAAATGTAATTTATTCACACCTAATTATACAGAAAAATAAGTTTCTATCTTAAAAGAATCAGATTGAAATAGAATGTTGAGATGATTAAAGAAAAATAAATGCTCTATTATTCCTTTTGAGAAAACCATAGAATGACATCAACACTCCAAATAACTGTCAGAATATTTTTTTTCTTACCTGCAAATAAAGATTTGATTCCTTGATTGTGATAAAGATGTTTGATCAATGACCAGGTAGATAGCCGCGTAAGTACATGAGGACCTGAAATGATTAGAGGGGGAGAAAAAGTCCACATTTATTGCCAAGATGTTTGCTTATAATTCTTTTAGTATTTCATACAAAGTGAACAAATTGGGTGTGAAAAGAAAAGCTTCATTCTAAATGTTGAGTAGAGACAGCTTCCTTCTGGAATCCACAGAATTTGTTTTTTTACCAATGAAAAGTTGAGCATGACATTTAACCCTATTTTCACATAGATATATGATATAGAACAAAATATTTTCATGCAAAATTTCATACAACTCAAAACTATTTATAGCACACCTGTAATTACTACTGGCATCAAAAAATGCTCTGACAATTATTTCCAGAGAGGTACAGTATATGAAATGGATCTACGGTGTTTGCATTTGGCATGTAGTCAGTTTTATCAGTTAATCTTTAGAACTGCAGAAATATAACAAGTTCACAGAAGTCATGTAGAAAAAGCAAAATTCCTTTTTGATTCTTCTGAGATGCTTTTGAGGAATTGAAGAATTTGAACAGATTGATTAATCTGTTTATCTTTCAATTTACATTAAGTTTCCAGGTGTCAGGAAATTTCACACATTTCTCAAAATTCCAATCTTTCTTTCTTAGAGGAAGCCATTTTATACTGGAAGTTTCCTGAATATTTGATAGCTCCACATATAAAGAATTGAAATATTAACACTTTCACTGCTGTATTGTCACCTGGCTGTGCTGGCCCATTTGGTGAAAAACAGGAAATTGGTATTTACTGGAAATAAATGACCATAAAAATACTGATGGTAATTTTTTATGGGTACTGCCATTTTGGTTTCAATCAGATACTCTGCATTACAGATTAAGCTGGATGACGCCCCCCCCCCGCCACAATAAAAATATGTTGCAAAACATGTTCTATTGCATGCTTGCACTAAATTGGAAACAACGCAAAGTGCCAAATTGTTTTATAACAAACACAAAGGACTGATATTTTGGTGTCTAGAAAATATATTGACAGCAAGTAATGTAAGTTTCATAAAGACATAAATACATTCACATCAGCACAAGTATTAATATTAAGTCCTACATTTGTAATATTATTTAAAAATTATCATAAAGCATCATATTTTGTGAACACAGTTATTAAATTATATCTTTACCTCAGACATAACAGATGACTTATTTAAAATGACAGTAAAACTTACAATTTGGTTCATGAAGCCCAAGACTGATTTGTTTGTGGGTTTTAACAACATCAAATGGAACTGTCAAAATAGCAGCAGTCTGTGGAAAAAAAAAAAAAAAAAAAATAAAAAAATGTTATGCTTTTTAAATTATCAATGGGATAATTGTTTTAATTGAAGGAGTAATAATCTGTTATTCAAAACCCTTTGTCATGGACACATTCTTATTTCTGAATTACCATTTATGCTGAACTAAACTCTTGCTGATAGAGGAGTTGGTGACTCAAAGAGAAGTGACAAGAACTAATTAAAGTGGACCTTCATCTCCTGTAGTACCAACTACATTCAGTGGACAACAGAAGCTGCCAACAAAGAGACAGAGTAATATAAGTTCTACCAAGCAACCTCTCCTAATGAAGTAAATCACAACAAAAACAGAAGAGACTACACTTCAAAACAGGAGCTTTCCTCCTGACTGCCAGTCATTTTTAATGCAGCCAATACAACAAAAGTATGCCTACAACAGATGTGGAAAAATTCTCTTAAATCTTTTTTTGCCAAGCCAAATTCTCAAGAGGACAAACACTGTACAACATTCATGGTTAATATCAAATGCTTTAATATTTCTGCCATGTTATAATATCAAACAATTTTACAATTTATTTTTATCTTAATAAAATGGTAAATAAAATATGAAAGACAGAAATAAAAAAGATTTTATGATCTAAGTAAAACATTGTCATAGTGACTAAAAATAATTTAAAAAAAAATACCATCAAGCAGCAAAGAAATATCTGACTGCTAGAAGCACTGAAACAAGTGGCCCAACAGTGTGTTGCATTCAGTTTTGGTACCAAATACAAATTTTAGTGTTCAAATGACATGCAAAATTTTGATTTTTCGATGTTTTCAGTTTTTCATTATTTTGAATAAGGAATTATGTGTGTGTGTGTGTGTGTGTATATATATATATATTATTATTATTATTATTATTCCTACATTTGACTCTACACAAAGCAAAACAGAGAAAAAGTAGCAGATGAGGGGTAGGAAGACTGTTGCATCAATCTTTCAAGTATAAAGGGTTTATTTGCCTTCAAAATTCTTGCTTTAATCTAGACAAACACTAACTTTGTTTGGGAGGTGCAACTATCTGCCACTAGATAGGCTACAACACAGACACTCAGTTTATTCAATCACAAGGCCTAATGAGGATAGAACATCGATACTGCACAGAATTTTTTTTTAATGGAAAAGAACATGTGTCTGTTAGCCAGTTTATTTGTTTTTTTTTTTGGCTTCTCTGTCAGTGGTCTTCTCTGCAGGTAATTGATAACACCATGATGCCAAATTGGAAAGAAACAATGCAGTTATTAATAAGAAGAGTTAAAATTAATGCATGCAATACTTTACAGCATCCCTCCTTCATAGTCAGCCTATGAACTTTGCAGCTGACACTTATAATTACCAAATAATGAAAGAAATAAAATAGTCATTGAATAAGATAATATAATTAAATGGAGAACTATGAGAAATCCAATTCTCAGCATAACCCATTTCTCAAGAAATCAGTTCTCTCATGTCTGGTTATTGAAATACTGATATTGGGAAGTGGATCAGGTCAAGAACTTTTCAGCATCCCAATGTATTACACTTGATAGCATTAATCAAATTACAAAATAAAAAAGTTTTTTTACAGATTGTATCTTATTTTAATTCAACTAATAAATGGTATAATCATTTAAAACTGAAATATATGTTGTCAGGCAGATAAAAATCATAACATGAAAATTTATATAACATACAATATTTGTTTATGATTTATTGATGTAACAAAAAGAATTAAATAATTTTTAAATTTTAATATAAGGGAAATAACTGAGGATGTATAAATAAATCAAATCAATAGAATGCAAAATATGTCAATATTCAAAACGAAGCTGTAACGTCATGACAGTATCGTCTGTTACAAATTATATATCCTCTCTTCCCACTGTGCAAACTGACACAGCATCTTGTTAAAATTGAAATTTAACAGTACAGAATGAGTAAAATAACTATTGTTATAAAATATATAAAAATAAAAAAAACTGATGACTGTCCTTTACTTACTCTTAGTATAGCATGCTTGTTAGTTTTCAATTGTCATCTAAATGTACTGGTTGGTTCAACAGGAGTACAAGGCATAAAAATAGATTCTAGGAGTGCAATAAGGGAATGAGGTAGTTGACTATCACTGGGGGTGGGTAGGAATAGTGGAGATCTGTGTTGATATCCCACTTCTGGCAATGTTTAACCTTCATGCTTGCATAAAAAAAACAATGTCTCAAAAGGGTGGTTATTTACTGGACATTGCTATTACTGTATATATTTGATTCCCTTGGCAATGTTCACTTTGAAAATTATAAAAATATATAGACCAAGTACAATGTGATTTATTATTTGCCATTTTATAAATAACTATGAAAAAAGTTTTTTTTATTCAATCTAATAAATAAATATTTAACATCTTTGTTGTCACTTCTCAAGAATAAAGAAAATGTATAAATTCATTTTCATATGTTTGGCTTTTATTAAAATTCTAATCATCACTTTTTAAAAACAAACATTTTAGAGGGCGTTAAAAGTGTATACAATAATAGCAATGTCAAGGGAATAACCATCCTTTTGACACCTTTTTTTTGCAAGCACAAAGGTTAAACATTCTCCTCCTTCTTCTAGTGTGAATAAAGAAATCCATTTTTCCATAAATGTTTTTCCCTTCCCTTGAGTTGATTAGTCTTTCTGTGACTTCTCTGAACATGTCTTGAAGTCTCTCTCCTGGATGGCTCATAATGCCTGGATCTTGTGACAAGCAAGAGCTGTAACAATTGGTGTGCCACTCTCTGTAGACATTCTTTCTTAACCATTTCTTTTTTATTGATCATTTTAGGCAGAAGGCTCTCTGGTATTTCTGACAGATTCATTCTCAGCTTCTTGTCTATCATGATGTCTCAAAAGAGCTGGCCTGCAAGCAAGCAAGCCAAGGTAAGTATTTGCATTCTTCTCTACAATACTCTTCAGCAATTTTTAAGCTTTCTACTTCTTCATTGGTTTAAGGATGTAAAATCAAGATAAAATTCTATTCTTTAGCAAATTCTTGAAATTGTCAGCTAGCATACTGGAAAATGTTCTTTTTGATAACTATATCTGGAATTCAATGAGTTGCAAAAGATCTTGAACATGGCATATAGGATTGTTCTTGATATGTTTACTTGGAACATTTGCATCTCAAATTCACTGGCTAGTGTAGTAAACAATAAGATAATTTTTTTAATTTTAGTTCAAACAGTTTGATGCCAACTTGGGCCCACAGTGAGAGTGCCACAACAAAGCAACCTTAATCTCCTTGTTGCTTACATAGACACTATAACGTTTTAAATACAAAATTTCTACCTTCTTATTCACCGATAAGAGCTGTAGATTTTGCATTTCTTTTTTGAGAAAAAGAGCACCATGACACAATTCACTCCATCAGACATTTGGAAACTGCATACTTTACTGCTTGGTGTTCACACTGAAAGTTCCAATACAAACAATTCAGAGTGTTTGGATGTCAATCTGACGACAGTATAGAAGCCAATGGTGATTTTACTGAATAAATTTATTCTTTAGTATTTCAAGATATTTTTGTGTAATTTTGATAAATATATCTGTTAAAATGAAATGTCTGTGTTATTTTCATTTTTGTGTAATTTAGATGACAATTTATCCATTGCACCTTGTATATATGCAGGTGTTAAAAATTTGCTATATTTAAGGGGAACTAATGCTGAATATCAATGACTTAAATAAAATCCCCATAATGTAGTTATAGTTAGAAAACTTCTCATCGGACAAGCAAAGATCCTTTTACAACAGCACTTCTGTGTTATTGCTCAAGTGGTGAGGCATAGGGACTTCCTGAATTGTCAACCTTTAGTAAAACAACTCCCTGCCTGTCTTAACAGGAATCTGAAGCCACGACAAGTCATTTATTGGGATTGTAGTGTGCTAGAATATAAACAGAGATTAGCTTGGCATTGATAGTGTGGAAATTATTTTTTTTGCAGGGATGAGAATTAGAAATACCATTTCCAACTGAAAATTAGACAAGGTACAAGGGAGGAGAGGCTTTCCAAAATCTTGCGTGTTGCAATTTCACCTGTTTTTTGGTTGCAATGATATATGTCCACAATTCTTCAAATTCCTTTCAGTTTCATCTAAGGGACATAAGGAAAGATGGGGGAGGGGTATCTGATAGGTAGCCATAAAATAACTTGGGTGGGGTGACAAAATACAGCAAGATATTAAATAGAATATTAGCTACAAAAATATTTTGTTACACTTAACTAAAAACTTATTAAACATCTCTCAGAAAAATAATATTTTCGTCACCTATCTCAGCTTAAGAAACCTCCACCCCACTACTAGATGTATATATATTTCTTTCAGATCGTTTTTCTTGTGTTTTAATTACACTACCCTAATGAATTTTAGAACTCTTAACCATCAATTTCAAATTCCAGCCTAGTCACTTGCTCACAAATGCTCTTAGGAAAATCATGAATCCATCTCTTCTCCCCACCAGCAATGGATTAAATAGTAAGTTGGACTTAGTGGGGTAGCCTTGAGTGACAATCAGTGTAAGAGAATGAAACCCTGAATTCCAAGTCAAGGAGAAAGCAATGGGAAATAATTCCATCTTTCCCAAGAAATCATTGCAATTCACAGGTAATAAATAAAAAAAAAAAAAAAAAAAAAAACAAATCTGTTGAAAGTCATAATTACCTACATCCTGGAAAAGTTTTTTTTTTTTTTCTAGCCATCAATGACCTCTTTGCTAATCTGTCTCTTCACCGAGCCCCTGTATATTTTTGCACTGCTTTACCAAGGGAATGAATTCACAACTTCCAGGAGACCAAAACAAACTTTAACAAATTTTTTGCTTCTTTTTCTTAAAGACTTAATGTTTCATAATTTCATAAATTAATCTATAGCGATGCAGAAACATTTCTTGCATGATAAAAACAGGAAAACTGGATTGAAGGAATTAATGTATGACAACAATAACATTTCTTTGGAGAAATCCTGACAAAAACTGTCCAATTCTTAAACCCAAATGCATTTAAATTTAAATTTAATTGGGAATCAACATTTTCTACAAGAATTCTAATTCTTATGTATTTAAGAAAACTTACAAAATTTCATATATTATTAGTATATGTTATCTTGGCATTACAGATTTTTTCTTTTCAATTTAAAAGTCAGAGGAAATAAATTTGACTTACAGAACCAGCCATAGCACCAGCCATAATAGTTTGATGAACCTGCAAGTCTGCAGAATGATTCTGAAGAATCATGTGAGCTTTTATTCGTTCATAGCCAAACCAGTAAATTCCTGCAGAGATAAGAGAAAATATACTGTCTAGAATAATATGGGGAGGGGGAGAAAAAAACAAAAAAGAATAAAAACTGTATCAATGCCAAGAACTTATGAAGGAATTTTTTAAATGAGAAATTATCATTATTACATGCCTTCAATTCAGACTAGAAAACACATCTCGATTATTATACACAATATTTCAGCCATTGTACCCCCTTGCCTTCATCAGGTGTCTGTTGTACACGGTAATCTTCTTGAAATGTTGAATCAAACACTTTATTCAATCAATAAAGGGTAGATTATTCTCATTCCATTTTCTATACTTAGGGGAGATAACTTATATCAGTTAATACTCACCAGTCTACATAACCTTTTTATCACTTCTTGATCCAAAGACTGAACTCAAAACTGCCAGGGATGGTTTGGTTTATTTTGTTTAATGGCATATCAACCTAAATGGGTTATTTAATGCCAGCAACATTTTTAGGATAGATTCATATGAATAGAATATGTATTCTTTGGTTTAGACTGGTTTGATTTATTTTGTTTTACAGCATATCAACCTCAATGGGTTATTCCCTCAAAACCTCCTGATCAGAGGCCTTGCTGCTGGACGTAGTTCTTGCACCCTTACTTTTAGTAAGGTGGCTGGTATCACCTGTGCATTCCTTGAAACAGTTACTTGTAATGGAATACACACAGTTCTTAGTCATGTTCTATTCTGAGGAGAATTTGGTTCTGAAGAGATATTTCTAAAGAGTCAAGCTGATGTTTTATGTAGCCATTATATAATGGTAAACAGAGTATCACAGAATTTTGATTGTTGTCCTCAATTTTTATCCCTGCTCATTATGTTTGTTAGTTATTATGTTAAATAATAGATTAGCAGACTATTATTTTTTAAAGAACTGTATTTCCTCCAACTTCCTCATTTTGACCTTTGAAGTCAGATGGTAGACTAAATATAGTGATGTCAATTTTGATTGGCTGAGCCAAACATGGGAATGTTAAATTTAGAAAATGTTTTCAGGGAGTTAAGTTTTTACACGTCATACACAGACTTGGTTATTTCACATCTCAGGGAACTTACTCCCCAGTGCGGCTGATAGAGCAACCCCACTGGCTAGTTTAAAAATGTACACACTGCAGTATTTAATAAAATAGATAAGTTTAAAATCCCTTTCGTTGAAGATCTCATTTAACTCTGAACAAAACAACTAGCGAAAGAAGAAAAAGAGAGAGGAAGATAACATTATTGTGATCACCTCAAGACAGTCAACCAAAAGACCTCCAGTGTGAAGGGGTATACAACAGTTATTTTGAAGGTACTTTCAAATATAGATCATCTCTGGTTTGTCACTTACAATTTTTGCTCAATATTGTAAGCAGTAAATGGTCCTTTTCTTCATGCGATAACAGGAATCAAAATTAACATAGCATCCACTGAATGTCAGTGTATAATAAATATTTATTGCTCTACTCTTGTATTGAGTCCTGTTTTAAATTAATGTTTTATTCTTCATTCTTTTACATTTGGATATATGTGTGTGTATGTGTATCATCAAAACTTATTCTGCATGAATTAATAAATCCAAGAAGGTCAGTTGATAAAACAATTTTTCATATCTTGAAATAATATCTTTCCTTATTTTCTCTAGTAAGCTTTTCTCCAATTACACAGCATATGTTAAAATCATTCTCTTTAAAAAATAGATAAAAATAAATAATTATACCAATCTGTCATTTTTCCAATTCCATTGCAATACTCAGGCCTGATACATTAGCCCATGGCATATCTACAGGTGATTTGAATTCAAAGTTGTCTTTCTCTTAGACAGGTTACACTACTCAGACTATGGAGACCAGTCTGCCTATTTTAACCATAGCTGGGGGGAGGGGGAAGAAGAAATGGATTCATGCCTTTCCCAAGACTATGAGCATAAAATGACTGCAAGACTTGACCAGAATTTTAACTCTTCCATGTGGGTGTTTCACCCATAGAGTAATTTTGAGCAAACTAAATTCGCAGACTATTACCAATGTAGCAAGTTCAATCTTCATTGTGTACCCCCAAGACTGTAGCATCATGCCCAAGTCAGTGTTTGTACATATATTACATTACATTATCAGCCAATAACTTCTGTAACAATTTTTTTCCTGGTAAAAATTGGCCTTATAAAAAAGGACCAGAAAGATATGTGCCTGACAATGTTTGATAAAATGTTGTATCCATAAATAAATTTAAACATATCAATTGATTGATTCTTCATTCCTGCTATACTGATAGAGGATTGAAAAGGTTATTATGAATTGCTGGAATCTGGAAAAATCATTATTGAGCAAGTGGACTATTTGAATGACTGAGGAAAAACTTTTTTTTCTAATGAAAGAAAATCAACTGGTGCCTGTGCTGTAAGACAATATTCATCCTCCTATTGCAAATTTGATAACAATTATGGTGTTGGGAAAGAAAATTATTCCACAGCGTGGATATTTTCTGCTTATCATTTGTTTCCCTGAGTACAGCAATTTTTTTAATCTGGCCAACAGTTACAAGAAGTTGAAAATATCAAAAAATCCTGAAAAAAAGCCATCAAAAGTAATCTGAATGTTTTCTTTATGATGGAATTTAGCTGAAAGTTGGTACAAGGTCAGAGAAAAACAGGGAATGTACTTTGATAACTGAATAAAGATACTATGAATTCACAAGAATAAAATATTTCCCCCAAAATGTTGGAAATATTTACAAACTGTTACTTTTAATAATAATAATAATAATAATAAAAAAAAAAAAAAAAAAAAAAAAAGAGTAAAAAGATAACTATAAATTTGTTGTTAGTGTAAAGAAATATTTCTACTCACCAGAAAATGGGACATCTCTAAGCAACGTTGGAGCAAGACCTCTCCACATAGACAAAATTCCTCGATGTCTAACTTCTTCACGGAGAAGATTACCAATCATGAAATAATTGAGTTTTGCAGATTGGATTTTTGTCCGCACTAATTCTAGTGGACTGATAACACTCACAGCCAGCACTGAAGAAAAAAAAAAAAAAAAAAGAAAGAAAACATTTCAATAGAAAAATGATCCGATTTCTGTACATATGTCTTATGATTATATAATAAAAACAGCATGCAGTCATAAAAGCAAAGCTTTTGCGATTTTATTCCTCAAAACCATTCGTAATACACACAACAATCTACATAGCTTTTCCGTAAGAAACAAAGCCACCAATTTTTTTTTACAAGAAGCATTCACTGAACTTTTCATTATTTCCATCTGATTATTCTGCCTTTATATCAATTACATGATTCTTATGGTTTATATTTTATATTGTAATATTTAACCTTCCTTCAATTTCAGCTCTTGAGTGAGGGCAAAACCAGTTGGATGGTTATTTTTTTTTTTTTTTTAAATTATGAATGGTAAAGTTCATCTTGCCATTTTTATTTCCATGATAAAATTCTGTACCGCTAATAAATGAAATTATACATATATATTTTTTTTTTTTTTTTAAACGTTTCACCCCAAGCAGGCGGGAAGCCACTAGGATGCAAGGGGTTACAGGAAATAGCAAGATCAGATAGGAGTGATAGAAGAAAGGATGAGGGTAGTGGATAGATCAAGGCAACTGGAGATGTCGATTGACATTACACTTGAATAGCTGGAGATTATAGCTCACAGGGAAACAGGAGAAGGGAAGGGAGTTCCACAGGCGAGAGGTGCAAGACATGAAGCTATTAGAGTAGAAGAGATGGCTACATTTAGGAGTTTCGACAGTGAGGGGGTGAGAGCGGGATGCCAGCCTCATAGGGCGCTGGAACTCATGACGTCTGGGAACCAGCAAATGCAGCTCCTCGGAGCAGTTTCCATGAAAGTATTTGTAGAACAGACAGAGGGAGGCGACGACGCGTCTGTGAGAAAGTGACTGTAGACAAGACGCCAGGGGCAGGGCCAACCATATTGCATATCCGCTTGGAGCCTATCAAGAACCCCGAGGCAAACAGAAGGGACTCCATGCAAGGGCTAATCAGGATTTGTATATCTAGAGGATCACTCAGGGGAAAAAAACTTCCTAAGCGCTACTCAGGGAGCCAACTTTCCCCTCGCAGTGGACGAGGCAATTGACTATGTATTTATTCCATCTCAGGTCAGCAGTCAATGTGAGACCGAGAAGCCACAGAGAGTTGCTCTCGAGAAGTTGAGCGTCAGACATTCTAATGGAGGGAAGGGAAGGCTCTCTGTGGTGATTAATAGAGAGCAGTTTTGTCTTCGAAGCGTTGAAGTTTACCAGCCAATTCATGCCCCAGTTCACAATCGATTGGAGGTCCTTTTCAAGACGCACGGCAAGGTGAGTTTTGTCAGCGAGACTAGATTTGTTTTTGAGGCAGGAATAAATTGTGGTGTCATCCGTGTAGATGCCTACTTTGGAAGTTACGGCGTCAGGAAGGTCATTTATGTAGATAAGGAATAGAGTGGGGCCTAGGATGGAGCCTTGAGGGACACCTGCGTTCATGGGATAGGAACTGGAGGAGAATCCATTGAGAGCGACCTTCAATTCACAGTTTGACAGGAATGATTGTATTAGGTTATATAATCGATCCGTAATGCCATAACCCTGGAGCTTGCGCAGAAGGCCAGCATGCCAAACCCTATCAAATGCTTTGGAGATGTCAATTGCCACGGCTCAGGCTTCCCCATTATTTTGGAGAGCTCGGTAGACTGTTTCAGTGATGGTTGTGAGCACATCGGCTGTAGATCGGGCAAAGCGGAAACCATATTGCTTGTTAGAGAGCAGATTATGGGATGTGAGGTGGTTAACTACCCCGGTATTGATTAGAGCTTCAAAGACTTTGCCGAAGAGGGGAAGGAGACTGATAGGACGGTAGTTGGAAGGGTCAGAGGGGTCGCCGGAGTTCTTGAAGACAGGAACGATCGAAGAGGACTTCCAGCAGTCAGGAAAACAAGATTCCTTGAGGCAGTAGTTGTATAGTTTCGAAAGGGCGGGCGCCAGTTCAGGCACGCATTTCTTCAAGACAATGGCTGGTATCCAGTCACCACCACTAGCTTTGTTGGGATCTAAATTAGAGATAACGCCCAGTACCAAAGATGGGGTTATGTTTAACCCACTCAATATGGCCTCAGTTCTAAGAGGGAAGTCGGGTATGGGTACACCGGAAGAGTCAAGCGTAGAGTTGAATGAAAATTTCCGAGCAAAGCATTTGGCCTTGTCGGTAGAGGAGGTCAGGACTTCGAACTGGTTGAATAAAGGAGGTATAGAGGGTTTGCAATTGTTCAATACGCTCTTGCAGAGACGCCAATAATCTTTGGAGCCAAATTTGCGAGATGCAATACGTTCCTTCATTCGAGCCGCAAATAGTGACTTAGCATCATTGAGGACACGCTTACATTCGTTACGGGCGGAGGCAAAGAGACGTCTATTGCAGTCAGACATGGCGCTACGGTATAGGTGGAAGTAGTGGTTCCTATGGGCGATGGCAGCTGAGCAAGCAGCCGAGAACCAGGGGCAGGAGCGCGACTTGACCCTATATTTCCTTGATGGGATAAAAGTGTCGATTCCAGCTTTAACCCAGGAAGAGACCTCAAAAGCACATTCTTGGACGAGGAGCTTAAAGACTCCATCCCAGGGGACATCGCAGAGGAAATCACGGAACGCGTCCCAGTCAGCTCGTTGATAATAGAACGAAGTTCTAGTGGTAGGAGGTTCTTTATAGGGGGTGGGGTTAAAGGAGATGTTAACCGATATGACTGCATGGTCAGAGTTACCAAAAGGGCAGAGTTGTGAGGCACTGCAGGATTTGGGGATGGAGATAAAGCACAGGTCGAGTAGAGAGGCTTTACCTTCCCGGTTGAAGGCAAAACGAGTGGGGAAGTTAACTATCTGAATGAGGGAATGGAGACTGAAAAATTAAGCGTTTGAATGCCTGCATGGTCAGTAGTAGCATTCTTAAGCCACAAGGTGTGATGGGCATTAAAGTCTCCAAACACAAAAATGTGAGCAAACGGGTGGAGGGAGAGAGCCTTGTCTATGTTGTCAGAAATGCTATCAAGTATCTCACAGTCTTGAGAGGATGGAGAGCGGTAAAGGAAGAAGAGATAGCTTACCGCATTGAGGAGAGAGAGTCGGAGACACATGTATGACTGGTCAGGCGATTCGAGAGAGGACTCTCTGACCAGAGGAAGATGTTCCTTGACGTAGACACCAAGACCGTGCATGTGAGTTAGAGAGTCTTTTCTGAGAAGAGGAAGATAGCCGGGGACCGAGAGATCAGAAGAGGGGATAGATAAGATAAGGTTTGTCTCACAGAGAGCCAGTACATCCGGGCCATTTGCAGAGAGGAAACATTCCAGACTGCAGAAGTTTGTCCTAATGCCCCAGATGTTAGAGAACGAAATGTTGAGGGGTTTAGGTGGTTTTTGAGATGCTGGTTTAGGGTTAATCTTTCGAGATATATGTGTGTGTGTGTGTGTGTGTGTGTGTGTGTGTTTAGGCAGAATTCCTTCATTTATGCAGGTTTCATTAAGACAACAGACAAGGTACTATGGTTATGCTTTTTATTTAAATTTTTTTCAAATTGTTCAAATGAGTGCTTTTTTTTGACACAGTCTGTAGAAACTGTCCAAATGTTCTATAGTTCCGAGCGCTTTCAGCTATTCTTTTAGCCATTATCAAGGAGGATATTATTTTTTCAGTTTAATTGAGTGCATCCGTTGTGTGTATGTTTTTAGTATGTTATAGAGATGTTTTATTTTCCAAACATGGTTAGCAGATTGGCTTTTTCTTTATTATTAGGACTTCCATTATTTATACATTATTTTTTTTACAGGTGGATGAGATTATTATGTTTAAGTTTTCTACTAGTATATTTTGAATGAAGTCTGGTAAGTCTGTGTGTGTGCTTAAAAATTTGAAAAATAGGGATCATAACATTCATTAAGTGATTAGTGGGTTAATGCATCTTTAAAATGTTAAAGGGATTTCACCATTTTATATCATTAACTTTACTAATTTTTTTTTTTTTTTTGAATGATTCATTTTAACAAATTAAACTGCACATTATATATATATATATATATATATATAAATAAAGTATAAGTATTACCAGTTTGTTACTCATAGGAATAATTCCAAAGAGATCCAAATCCATGGAGAGCTCAAATTTAGACTAAAAAACATAATAATAATAATAATAATAATAATAATAATAATCAGGAAGAAAATCTTAACTATTCATTTTGGTTATAATTTATTTTGTGAATATCGAAGATATTCACTCTTCAGACAAAACTGAAGAGTGAATATCTTTGATATTCACAAAATAAATTATAACCAAAATGGATAGTTAAGGTTTTCTTCCTGATTATTTCATATATATATATATCATGGCTTTACTTATCAAAGTATTTATTTATCAAAGTTCTTTTAGAATAAATAAATACCAAAATCAGACGTCCCTATCTAAATATTTCTGGCACTTAAAAAAACCCAATAAAATATCTACTGTGAAATGGAAATTAATAAAAAAAAAGCTAGAATATGTAGGTCATTAAATGAGCCATGTCCTTTGAGCATACATGAGAAATTATACATTTCTAGGTTTATAAAAAAAATGAAAATTTACTTAAAGAAATGAAATAGCTATTCTTCGCCAACATTGTCAAAAACTTTTCTTAAATGTTTTAGAAAAAAAAAAAAAAAAAAAAAAAAAAAACTGTAAAATGAAACATACATATTTATATTTGATATTTTATAATAATTTCTACATAATAAAGTAATTCTAATACATTTATTTGTTTTAAAAGAAGTATAGTCTATTAGTAATTAGAATTAAAAATAATATTTTTCTACCACTTCGTCCCCAGCCCCTCAACCTCCAGCGTCTTCCTCTTTGGGTTGAGGTGTCCACTCAGTCCGAACCGAACTTAGGGGTAACTGGCCGTACGCTCCCTGAGTACCCGTAGATTATTTCGACCGGTCAAGTCCTGCTCGCTGCCTACGCTGTGTTAGTTTTTAGATCCAGTAAGCAGGGTGTTGTCCATACGTTCACGGCCGACTGGGTATGTGGACACAGCTGTGAGAGTTGGTGCTAGGAAGTTTTAGAACGTGGCAAAATAAAACAAGAAATAATATCTGCAGAAGCCAGACAACAATGGGGGAAATATTGAAGTCTTATATAAAAAATAATAATATGGGGGAAATATTGACATCTTATATAAAAAACATTGGAACAGAGGTTACAGAGAGAATAAAGACATTTAACATAAATGAGAAAAGAAAAAGACAAAATGCATCCAGCAAATTCCCAACAGAGAGAGAGTTTGTGTGTGATAAACGTGTATTGAATCGCCTGGGGGTAGGTTTATGATTAATAGTCCAATCTCATACAGACTTCTCAGAACGGGTCTTCTTTCTCTCCTCCAAAATTCTCCCGCAAATCTCTTGACTCACTGCAACCACAGTCTATTTCCTCGATTCTGCTTTATTAGCAAAATCTCGAGTTAATATAGAAAAAGGATCAGCTGATCACAATTGACCCTCAGCCCGGCACGCGGCTACCACGAGTGCCAAAAACTATCCCTTGACATGTAAACCGATTCTCCAATTATTTACCTTATCTCAATCACGAGTTCTTCTCGCTTCACCAAAATTATACTCTGGGATATCTAAACATTGATTCAACCTTTTAATCAAAACAAATACTGTTAAACAAAACCAAGTATCTCGCCCATCCCCATTATTTACTAGTGACCCAGGTTTAAAACATCACCTCCTGCCCTGAGATTGTATTTCTCATCGGTAAACACACATCTTAACCCAAATTGTACTTTGATATATAAACACTGTTTCCATTTACAGTCAATAAAAGTTATATTTGTGTGTGTGCATTCATGTGGGTGCGTGTGTATACCTCTTTCTGTTACATTTTAAAATTGTATTTTAATACGACAAAATATTTATGTATACAATCACAAAATTAACAGAAAAAAAAAAGTGCCAAAAACTTTGTCATTGAAAAAAAAAAAAAAAAAGACGACACGCAAAAAACAGATGTCATCATTTGTTGAACAGGCACCCCTACCCGACCTTAACCTTATTCCAAAAGTAACTCATGTTTTGATACAATAGTTGTCAGTGAAAATGAATAACCTACAAAATGTTGGAAATATTTACACATTTATTGTGGGAAGGGTTGAATTTCCCCATATCCTTAGAAAGTAATATTAAGAATGTATGTGCTTATAAAACTTGGTAAATTTCAAAATAAGTTATTCCAAAATTCACTTAAAAATGAAACAGTAATTTAATTCTATAATTAAATTTGAAGTTTGTTTTTGAAACATGGCAATTCCTGTGTAGCAATGGAACCATATTTTTAAATTAGTAAATTTATAATATATATATATATATATATATATATATATATATAGGATGTAGATTTAATACCAGTTATGTGCACATTATATAAACATTTGCATTTTTGACAGAAATTGTCACATGATTAATTTTATGAGCTACAGCCAGTGAATTTGATTCACATTAAGTGTTCCAGCCCTATAGCCATTTGCCATACTTAAATAAGACAAATAATACTTACACCTTCCTATGACCCCTGCAACTATTGGTTTCCACCAATCATTATGATTAAATTCACTGTAAACTAAATAACCCTTTAGTTGCTCATAACATGTAAAATAGATCACTGTTGTAGGTACAGCCATCACCCTGGAACAAAAGGGAGAAAAAAGTTAGAAAAAAAGAGAGAACAAGAAAATGAGGAATAATAAAAATGTGAAGCAAATGACAGAAAAATAGAGAAGAAATGAGCTACGAAGAAAGGAGAAATTAAAATCAAAATTTTAAAAAAAAACAGGTATTAAAAAAAAAAAATAAGCATATATTTAGATAAATATTTTTAAAAAAATACAATTTAAAAAAAAAAAAAAGATTAAAAAAAACGATTAGAAAAAAAAAAAGAAAATTTAAATAAAATGTAAGACAAACTATAAAAGAGCAATAGCATTGTTACTGAATCAAAACACTATTGAGAGATTTGAGGCAATGAATAACTAAGAGACTAGAGTGAAAAAATATTAGATCAATTATACATTTATAAAAGAAAGAATGGTTCAGAAATATTTAGAATCCATAAACAAAATTCAGGAACAGTGTCAGGAAAAGTGGATAAACTAAATAAAATTGAACTAAATTTTATCCATTTTTCTTTTTTTACACCACTGCTCTAGGAATGACATGAGCAATAGTTTTTAATAGGATCAGAAGTTGAGAGCAGATGAAATCATATTTACTTTTTAGACTATCTGATAAATTATCTATTACAGGTCACTGCAAAATGGTTTTTAACTGACTTGTACAAGTATGGCTATATGGTTCTAATGTGAAAGATTTTAAATTAATTACCAGAATCAGGTGACTTATCAATGCCATAATTATGGTGGAATTCTTATACAAGTCAGTTTTTTTAACTGACAAAAGTTTAGTTCATTTATGAACAGATAGATAACACTCCCTGATAGAGTATAGTATTGATATACAATTGCCTCAAACCTCCAGGTGAATAAAGTAACCTGAACTTCAATACAATGAAAACTGTCATATAATATCAACCATTATGAAGGCCTAAATCATGTTCAGTACTTTTTTCTTTTTTTTAACAAGATTCTTTCCAATCAGTCCATTTTTAATTTCTGTATACCCTCTGGTATTTGCAATATGTGGTAGTTATATCAGGTGTGTGTGTAGAAAATACCCACTTATCTTGAAGGACGTAAACATGTCTTCATTGTGAAACTGAGGCCAATTCTTTCTATCATATATAAGAGAATCTGAATTTACTGCATTGAAACCAGCAGAGAGCGAGCACTTTTGAGAAACCCATTAAAAAAAAAAAAAAAAAAAAAAAAAAAGAGGGTCACAGAAGTAGTGAAGGGACAAAGTTAGCAGTGATGGTGCATCCCCCAAAACTGTTTTCTCTGGGAGAACCTTTGTGCCTGGTTATGATCACCCCTAAAAAAAAAAAAAAAAAAAAAAAAAAAAAAAAAAAAATCAAACTGTGTCATCACATTGGAGTTTACTTACAGTCAAACTTGAGAATGATTGAGAATCTAGAATTATTTTTCAGTCATCAAAAGAATATATCTTGAAAATTTGAATATGTTTTGGGCTTCTTTTTTGTGCATTCTTTTTTCTTTTTTTATGAAGATCTCAAGAATGGAGGCCTTATTATTTTTTTTTAATAGTGTCCCCAAGAAGGGGTACTAATTGCTTCAGAGACAGGCATGTCAGAAGGTGGAATAATGGAGATAAGTTAACAGATGTTTCTGTATATTTCCTGTATCATTTATTTTTTCTGATATGAAAATATGAAATTTTGCACTTTCCCCCGAGGAGCTCAGGGAGAGAGTATTTGAAGGTCAAGGAGTCAAGGATTAAATATAAACATTTCAACTGAATATGTCTGGGAAAAAAAAAAATGCATCTCTTAATTTAATTTACTGCTTCCAAATACTTACAATGTTGGTGACATACCACTCCATAAAGACCGTATACCTTCATTTCTAGTGATTTTCATTACTGCATCCTGTAACAAAATAAAAAAGCAAATCATTAGACACATGAAACATTTTACTTCCATTAAAATGAATTAAAAAACAAAAAACTTTTTGTCGAAATCTAAAAACATTGTTTTTGTTAAGCTTCTGTAAAATAAATTTCAATTTCTATACTTGAAAGAAATTTACCCAGGCAATGGCTGCATGTTTTGTTGAGTACATTTTGAATACTGGAGCTTCTTGCGCATGTCTTTAAATATATACAAATAGATGCTGAAAAATTCATAGGCTTGACTTTTCATTGAAAGGATTAAAAGAAAAAACAAAAACCGAGATTTAGTGATTTGGTTAGATTTGGGGAAGTAGGTTAAGGCCTAAAACTTTTCATCACACCCTTTTACAGGTATACCTCCAGTTAAGTCATTCTCAATTAGTTTAAATCATTTTATTTGACTTCCGTCCACCACCCACAAATATTGAAGTTATAATATCACTAGAAAAGTGTTAAAAGCACATAAAATCATGTTACTGTACAATAAATAAGTATATAAAATCATATTAAAATACACACATTTACAATATATGTTAATATAATCATCATAAACCCTAGACAACGAAATATGAAAACATCTGTGACTGTGTTGTTGCCTTATTTAGTGGTCTTTAAGTACCAATATTGGCATTTTCCATGGTAGTTCCAATATCTACCATTTGGCATTGTTGTCAGTGCCACTCAGGATTCCTGCGAAATTGAAATCCAGTTTAGTTTAGGCATACACATGGTATACTTCTTATCGCATACTCTCATTCATTTGAGACTATGTTTTGCCCCAACAGCTACTAAGAAAATTCCTAGTACAACTGCTAAGCATCATGCTATAATGCTGGATGATAAACTTACTATGATATAACACCATGAAAAAGGTTATATCAACTGCTCAATCTTTTGGAATGAGTTGGACAACTGTATTGACAATTGTTCACAATAAGGATAAGATTTTGGCACATATCAAATCTGATTTCCCAGAAATGAAGAATACTGTTATCAATAAAAAAGGAATAATCTTTGAAGAGATTGAACAACTTCTTTCTCTTTGGATTGATAGTTTGAATCATAAGTGTGCTACTATTAGTCAAGAAATCATTCAAGTGAAAGCATTGTCTTTGTTTGAGGACCTGAACAAAAAAAATACCCAGATGAGAAAGATGTAGCATTTAAAGTGAATCAAGGCTGGTTTATGAGATTTAAAGAATGAAGAAGTTATCACTATTAAGAAGCAATGTGAAAGTGCATCAGCTGATGAACAAGCAGCAGCCAATTTTTCTCAAGCATTGGCTAAGATCATCAAAGAAAACAGGTTTCTTCCTGAACAGATTTTTAACATTGATGAAACTTGATTATATTGGAAAAAATTGCCAGACCGTTCTTTCATTTCCAAAGAAGAAAAATCAATTCCAGACTACAAGGTCTCAAAAGAACGTGTGACCCTTATGTTAGGAGGTAATTGTGCTGGAGATTTTAAACTAAAATCATTGCTTGTGTATCATGCACACAACCCCCCCACCCCTAGTCCTGAAGAACGTAATCAAAGCATCTCTTCCCGTTATATGGATGGCTAATCCAAAAGCATGGGTGACTGTTGTTATTTTTGAAGATTGGTTCTTTAATCATTTTATCTCGACAGCAGAAAACTATTGCAAGAAGAAGGGGATTCCTTTTAAGATATTATTAACTGCGGGCAATTCAGTTCGCCCATCGTTTGCGATGACTAAAATGGATTAAAGTGCTTGATTTCTTTTCCAGTCTTTCGCTCTACCAACTGAGCTGTCACGAGTGACCTCTTCCTAATTCTCTCGTTCTCGTTAATATACACATATGCCAACAAACGTTCTGCCGTCTTCTTCACAGACTCGCTATTTATGCCTGCGTCGGGGGCAACTAAAATTTGCATACGAGACTTCTTGTTCGCCAGAGACTTCCAATTTTATAAATTCAAGCTGGTTTAAAATCTTAGTCTTTTTTTTTTTTCTTTGTACGCCTGCCCACTATATAGGAATTTCAGAATAATCCATTTCTCTTTTAATGCCAGTCACAATCTTTCAACAGTTTGACGTCAACTAACAAACCATATTCTTTGATTAGCTGCTGTTGTTTAGCCAGTCTACTGCACACTAGCATTTCGCTCGCAGCTTTCATCCTCACTCGGGTCTTGCCTGTCAGAATATCCTGTAGCCATTGGTACATGCATACCGAGTTCGTGTATAGGTGTACCACCCTGGCCTGCCACTGTAATGCCAGATTTATACTTTTCAATGTGGCATCCAATTTGGCCAGGTTTATATGTTGCACGTCATTTCTTGGTCGAAGACAGCATGCATCTTCTAGTATAACTCCCCGGTTTTCCAGCACCACACCTATTGCCAAGGAGCTTGCATCAACCCATGCGTTGACTTCTTATCCAGTTACGCACCAATATCCCCGAACAGGGTAGTCTTCTTGCACTCTAGTTAGTGTTTCAACAATCAACTGCATAAGAGTGGCATCATTTATAATGTCATGCCACCTGTTTGTTAACATGCTTGCTAGCCTTTTTACCATTCCTGTGGCTGCACGGAGCCACCCGCAGATGGGAAAGTGCCCCACTAACTTCCCACATACAGAAAATACTGTGCTTTGCATTAGTGTAGCAGGGAGTTCTAGAACTGAGCTCCCTCACTTCCACTGCAACGTGTTGTGCTCCCCACCAGACTAAGCCCAAGCACATCAGCCCATCCTTTAATTGAATAGGGTCTTTGCTAGACAAGCCAAAGGATTCTAATTTGTGCCTGACTTCATTTGCCAAAAGTATGTCCTCATTTACATATATGTCATCGACATATGCCGAAGCAGCTCTTTTCATCAGCTCATCCTGATCTCGCACTGTCTTAATGATTGATTTCATATTTAGGGGAGCCACATTAAGGCCAAACCCCACACATGTCAAGCAGTACCTCTTTCCTTTGACGATAACTGTTTGGAAAGGCCATAACGTCTCATGGATATTTGAAGATACGCTTTTCACAGGTCAAGCAGAGCCACATTAGCTCCTTGTTACCACCATTCCCTCATTTGTTCAGCACACACGTCTGCATCCGCCATAAAGGCATCTATGTATTGAATTATCTCCCTATAGTCCATCACTGGCCTTGGTGGTTTGTGCAACAGCCATTAAGGGGGATTAATCCTCTTGAGGGCCCCAATTGGTCTTGCAGATATGGTATCAGCCAGCCATTCACGATCCACATCTCCAGTTCACTCTCGTAGGCAGCTCTGTTCTTATTCAGCACCATATAATGAGAGCCAAACATTGCACGCCATTCACGCATACCGTGACTATAGGCAAATCTATACTTACTGATTGACAGGGGCTAAGAGTGGTGACTGTTCCTTGCCCCCAAGCTTGTTTCCCGGACAGTTCCATGCTAGATGGCCCAGATTGTTACAGCGATAGCAACGTGGTTTACTATGATTCCCGCTCCCCGTATTACTTTGACTCCTGCACTCTCGGGAGAAGTGGTTGGGACCACCACACTTGTAGCATCTGGGGCCCTCCTGAGTTATGGGGACGCGACAGTCGCCGGCAGCATTTTCCTCTGCTTTACACATAGCCTCCTCTGTCCATGCAGCTGCTGGGATGTGCTCAGATGCCTTCAAAATGGTCCAGGCTCTAGTCAGTAGCTGGTCGATACCCATCTCCCCCAGCTTTAATGATGCTCACAGAAGCCGGCTGACATCAATGGGTAAAGCTTCCAAAAATGCACACACCAGTATCCGGTCATTAATGCCCCCGAATGGTACCGGCAACTTTATTAGATTGGTCAGGTACACATCAACTGTTTCCCCAGGGAGGAGTCGCCGCCCAATAAATTTACTTGTCTCTGACACATCATTGCAACAAGACAACCCCATTCAGGGAGATTGGTGCATGTTTGTCGTTTTTCGACTTAAGTCAACTCTCCTAGAACAAATTAGTGACATAAGGTGAAGTATAACTGTAAATATATAAATGAACAATGCAAAAGAGTTAATTGAAGTTATCTCCCTTGCATTAAACATTACAGAGAGAATATCCAATACATTTGGTGTATTAGATTAATCTTGATTAATAGATCAAGAGAGAATATATACCATATAGCTCTCTCTAGATGACTGAACTCTTCATCTACATAAATTTCCATTATTCCATAGATTTTTCAATCAGTATCAAATTTTTTTTTTTTTTTTAAGTGTTTTCATTTCTCTGTTTTTCAAACTATTGTCTTTTGGCTTTGCCGTTTTCAGTCAATTGCATTCTTCTTTGGCCTAAACTTTTAAACTCAGTGAATAAAACAAAAAAGTGTACAAATATTTGTCATTATATTACTGACTAGCAGTAGAGCCGGGGTGTAACAGTAAGAGATAGATCAAGTATCGACCATCATAAAGACTGAAAAATAAAATTGACAAAGATTGTTTAAGGTTGATGGACACGCATGTCTTAATTAGTTTTTTGGGGTTTTTTTTTGGTTTTTTTTACGAATAGGTCAAACCCAATCTCAAACAAAAACATTGTTTTCAATCGTTATGAGTCTACTGATTGAATAGAATTTTATTATAAACAATTGTCTTGTAAATGGAATTTTTAAAGCATTCTGAATGTAAAAATAAAGAAAAAAGTGCAAGAGAATAAGAAACACTACCTGCCAAAAAAAAGTGAGGTTGAAAAATGTAGGAAATCCGATCCCATATATAAACGAACACACACACACAGGGTTTTATAATAAGTATAACTCGATAGGAGTCATCCCCCTTTCATTCTCACGATGAGTCTTAATCGTGTTTTCAAATTGATTTTGTGCAAAAACAATTGTTTTTCCAATTTTTGGCACTGTCAGAACCACCGCAAGGTAATTTTACGTAGTCCTGTGAAGTTTTGTTGAAATCTGTTGAAAAATGTAAGAAATCCGATTCAATATATAAACGTACAGACACACATACACAACCTGGGTTTTATAATAAGTATGATGTTTGGTCCTGTGATTAGGATATTCGCTTTCCAATCATGAGACCTCACCAGGTCAATTTTCCAGGGAGGTAACTTTTTGATAATATTTTTTGGTGGGAGGGGTGACTATTTCAGTATGTGACACAATTGGGAAATGTTTTTTTTTATCATTTTATAATGACATGGTCCAAGAGTCACTCGAGGTAGAGGATCATAGAGTAAGAGGCACTACTCCAAGCAAGCATGCCACTAAGATGCAAGGGGGCCATTGCAATATTAATTGTTATCTTCTCTCTTTAAGCCCTGTTCTTTTATTGTCCTTTCTGTTTTTCTTACTCTCAGTAATCTCTTGCACCTTATTGCCTTATCACCTGCTTGATATGAAATAAAAAATAAATTTTAAAAAAATTGCCATATTTAGCTAGCTAATCTACCAGAGCAACATTAATGAAAGATGTAAAGTTGATCTTCTCAAGATATCTCATGGTTAGAAAAATTGTGTAAGACTAAGACACATTCACTGTTACTTTTGTGATTTGAAACCTTTCATAATCTCATTTATGTTCTTGTTAAATGTTTCCATTAGAAATTATTATAAAAAGAAATATAAAGAATAAAGAATGATGCAACCGTATGTCCTCATCACTGACTTCTTTGTTTTTCATTCTGTCTTTTTATAATGTCATGTGACACAAACATACAATAAAAAAAACATGTGCATCATGTGGGGAAGTAAATATATCAAGTATCTGAGGAATTTTAAAACAAAATTGAAACTCACCAAAGTTCCAGAAAATTTTCCTGGCTTCTGAAACCATTCTTGTGATCTGCCATTCACACACGTGCACACATGGTCCATAAGGCCATTGGAATAAAGAAATTGTTGGCCAATATGCATGGGTTGCCTTTGGCTCTGCAGCCGAATCTTCACAACATCCAAAGGAGTCACTGAGTGCAAAAATAGCAAACACATACAATAATAAAATAAAATTAAAAATCAAGTCTAAAATCAAAACAAGTTTACATTGAATGAGACAAAATATCATGAAAATTAATCATTGCTTTATAAACCAATTCATGATATCTCACTTTATTTTCAGAGCAGAAAACCATAATGTATTGATATCCCAAATCTGATTAACTAAAATCTTGGATTATTAATTTTGTCACTCCCATACCCAGGTTGATGGAATGATTTTTTTTTTTATAGCTTATCAACCTTTTACAGGTTATATAAAGCCAGAATATTTTTAGATATTAAGACTTTCTTGGAGATAATAAAAATTTATTGATACAAATCCTACTAATTAAACCATAGATAGGGGAGAGAAGAGATGAATTTACACATTTCCCAAGGGTATTTGCACATAAGTGAATATAACAAACCCAACTGGCTCTCTAATTTCCAATTCAGAGTAATTATCCATTAAACTACCTGCATATCCAAACTTACAGCACCTAATATTCCCAGTCACCTACTGCATAGCAACAATGACAACAACACAAAGAGCTTCTTTTATTGTCAGAGTCTAAAGTTTAAAATGAATATAAATAGCATGTTTGGATTTTCAGTCTTCTTTCATTGAAGACAAATCAACAATGATAGAAAATACTTGAACCTTAACATTTAATTCACAATTTTCAACCTGGAATAAAGCAAGTAATTCAACAGCAGAAGAAACGAAAAGACTCAACTGACATTTGTTGCTCATTCAATGGAAAATGTTTGAATGAATGATTACATCCATACATACATAAATACATACATAGAATATTTAGGTAGCAAACCTTTATTTAAACATGTTTTATTAAATAGAATGTACAAGGAATGTTATGCTTTTTGGTGAGTTACTTCTGGTGTTGAATGAAATGTTTGATTTCTATCTGAATTTCTGAGATGAGGAATTATCATTATGGACAATGGAACAAGAACACTATCCTGTTAGTTCAAAATTCCCTGGAGGTTACGAGTATTGACATCTGAAAAAGTCTAGATGGTAGCATAAATGTTGTGATAAAAACAACAAAAATGAGGACATTACTTTGACTATAAATAACTAGTTTGATATTGGGTGAAAACTTGAAAAGTAACTAAAGTTGTGCCATAATCTTCCAATTATTTTCAATAATTATTGGTCATTTTCAAGGAAAGTAGATAGAAGTGAAGAGACAACCAACGAAGAAAAGTCCAGAGTGTGAAATGAACATGGATTCATATGCTACAGTGGTGCAATAAATTTTAATGTCATAACCTATAGATTCACAGGCATTATAATACATATGCACCAACATTGAAACAAATTTTATTAATGGTGGATTGCCATCTTTTGATGTAAAGAGTCTTCAAATGTTTTAATCAGTTTTTTTGCAGCTGGATTGGAAAAATACTGTTGTATTACTGACCATAACCTGACTAATTAAAAAGGGCATTGTGGATTTGTGTTAAACATTTATATATGGAAACTTATGGAAATGTTAACTATGAGAAATTAATCTGTTCCTTTACAACAAATAAAATTATTTTTGCATATTTAGTAATATACATAATAAACCCAATTTAAACCACAAGAAAAATATTATAAACTTATTTTAACGTAACCAGATCGGCTCAAATTACATAAAACAAAATAGCAATAGAAAATATAAACCAAAATCTGCCTCCAATTGATCATATACTACAAAGAATTTAACTTCTAACCTCATGGTTACTGACAACTTTTCTCCACAAAATACACTTTACAAAAGACTAAAGTTGCATATCAATTGCCTTGACATATTGGTCATGCAATAATTCTTGAGAAGAATGACCTTTCACCTTTCCCAGCAAAGTATCATATATAAACATTTGACACAAATCCACACCTCACTCCCTCTTCTAATTATCATCAGATTATGGTTAACATTGCAACAGTACTTTTAATCCAGCTACAAAAGCAATTAAATATTTTAAACGTTTTTCACATCAAAATACAGCAACCCACCAATAGCAAAATTTGTTTTATTCTCAGCACACAAGTGTTAAAATGCTTTTGAATTTCATAAATCACATGACATTAAAATCTATTCTACTATCACAGCATGTGAAGCGATGTTCATTTCACACTCCAAACTGTCAATCACATAAATACTTCAATGGCTATCTCAAAACTTTTTTCTTTATCTGAAACTGGCCAAAGATGGTCAAAAGTACTCAAAACTACACACAATTTCAGCAAGATCCTTTACAAGTGTCCACCAAACATGAAGCAAGTCAACAAAAATCATGACAGACATTCCATGTCCTTTCTTCTATTTAATAACATAACTAAAAAGCTAGACAAAGGCTTAGGGAATCTGAACAGTGCATGCAAACTGAATAAAAAATAATGAAAGATTAAAATTCATAATTTTTTTTTTTTTTTTTTTAAACCTTAGGCTTATGACTCCTTCAGGATTGTTCCCCCAAGACAACAGCTTAGAGGATTAAAGGAAAGGTTTGTGAACTTAGTGACATACTAATTGTGAGATCAATCCCTGAGCTAGGTAGTAATGACTGTGGAAATAGAGCAAGCAATAACAGAAGAAAAAGATGAGATATCCCAAGACATGAACAATGGGACAAAAACAATATTTATCCCACCACTCTGTGATGGTTACCCAGATTGGCACACACACAAAGAAGGCCAGATGGCTCAAGGACAAAATACACTGCATTAGAAAATAAGAACAACTATAGTAAATTTTAAATTTATTAGTAACTAGCAGTAGAGCCCAGCATTGCCCGGGGATATAACAGTAAGAGATAGATCAAGTATCCACCATCATAAAGACTGAAAAATAAGATTGACAAAGATTATTGTTTAAGGTTGACAAACACGCATGTCTTAATTAGTTTTTTTGTTTTTTTTATGAATTGGTCAAACCCAAACTCAAACAAAAACATTGTTTTCTCTACCGATTGAATAGAATTTTATTATAAACAATTGTCTTGTAAATGAATTTTTAAAGCATTCTGAATGTAAAAATAAAAAAAAAAAGTGTGCAAGAGAATAAGAAACACTACATGCCAAAAAAAAAAAAGTTTTTGTTGAAATCAGTTGAAAAAATGTAGGTAGCCTTTCTGTAATCTTTTAGTTTTACAATTTATGATTTTTTTTTTTTTTTTTCTTATTGAATACAGTAAAAAAAATTGCATATTTTGCTTGTGGTGATTCATAATTAGATTCTGATTTGAATATATTTTCCACTCGTTGTTTCTAATAGAAAAATATTAACTTTATTTGGGTTTATTAATTATGATCTAACAAATCTTATTCATTTAGTAGCCTTCTCTGTAATATATAATAATCTTTTACAATTTAAGATATTTACTTATTGAATACAGTAAAAAATTGGACACCATGTGTATTTAAAATAGTTTCCGTTCTGGTTATTATTTTTTAGTTAGGACTCGTGTATGTTTAGATTTCATTATCTTTCCCTAAAGATAAAGAATTTATCTGATGTTTGTATTCGTACAATCAGTAGAGATCGTTAGATTATTGTTTAAGGTTGACAATTAGTTTTTTTTCAATTGGTCAAAACCAAACTCAAACAAAAACATTGTTTTTAACCGTTATGAGTCTCCCAATTGAATAGAATTTTATTATAAATAATTGTCTTGTAAATGGAATTTTTAAAGCATTCTGAATATTAAAAATAAAGAAAAAAGTGTGCAAGAGAATAAGAAATACTACCTACCAAAAAAAAAAAAAAAAAAGAAGTTTTATCGGCTGAAAAATATAGGAAATCCGATCAAATATTTAAAGGAACCCACACACACACAAACAACCCAATGTGAGTTGTCCCCCTTCCATTTTCACGATGTCTCTTAATCATGTTTTCAATATGATTTTGTGCAAAACAATTATATTTTTTCCCATTTTTGGCGCTGTTAGAACCACCACAAGGTAATTTTTTGTAGTCCTGTGAAGTGTTGTTGAAATCGGTTGAAAAATGTAGGAAATCCGATCCAATATATAAACGTTACAGACACACACAATCTGCGTTTTATAAGTAAGATTTCCTAACATTTCCTCAACAACAATTTTAAGTAAGGATATAAAGCCAAAGTGCTTAAAATGCAATAACATATTGGATTGCTTAGAATATATTCTTAAATTTTTAAGATTACTGTGTAGTTAAAAAATATATTAAAAAGCATTCATGTTCTATTCAAGTAATTTTTAGTCATGTAGCCTTAAATTTTTAAAATATCGGGTTGTCAATAGATCATAAAAACTACTCATGTTAAAAGAAAAATACTTTTTCGTGATATTTTAAACTAAGAGTAATATTCTTTCAATTTAGATTAATTATTTATATCAGCTGATTTCTATCAAATAATATTTTAGAAAAGTATATTTTATTTTTGAAAAGAAAAAGAAAAATTATGTTCAGAGATTTGTTAATATGGACAATTTTATTGATAAATCAGAAAAAATTATTCTCAGCAATTTAAATTCATTGTGAAATACAGCGTTTTTTGGGTTTTTTTAAATTTGAATCACCCCAAGCAAAGAGTTACAAGGTATGGAAGAACTGGAAACAAACATTAATGATAAGCAAAAAGAGAAGAGAGTAATCAAGATAAACAGTATGTAAGGATTGACATTGCATTTAACTCTGTATAGATTAAAGTTGGCTGGAAAGCATGGAGCCAGAAAGGACTTCCACAAGCAAGATGTTTGAGAGAAGAAACTGTTAACATAGAATTTACAGCTATATCCAACCAGCTCAAATGTAAATTGAGGAGATCTGGACACCAGTCTAGTGCCGAGTTTAAATTAAAAAACTCTAGGTACCTTAGCAAAGAGCTCATTTGAACAATTACCATGAAAGTATTTATAGAAAAAACATACTATAATATAAATGATATGTATAAGCTGTATGAGAAAGTAAATGTTGATGATATAATTTCTAAAAACAGT